TATAATTGTAGAAAATATCAAATTTTAATAATAGTAAGAAATAATTTGGAATACATTATAATTTATTAATATTTGATTTGACTTAAAATTAAATTAGTTTGATTAATTTAAATGTACTTCATTATCTTATAAAACCGTGCACAGCAGGGCCGCTGCAGCGGTACTCCGGCCGAATCGTCGTGCTTGCGGCGATCGGCTGCGCCCGTCCTAGTCCTTTCTCCGCGGCAGACTTCCCCGAAATTTTGCCAAAATTTGGGGGGTGCTTCGGATCTTCGCTTAGAGCTCTTGCGGCATAACCCGGCCAATTTTTCCCGAATTTTCGGGTTGCTTCCGGCGAGCCGGCTCTCAGATCTCCAGACGTTACCCCCGCAAATTTCCGCAGGGGAAATTTCGGGACCTGTCCGGATCGAAATTTCTCGAAAATTTCGGGCTTTCCCTTCTTTCCCTTCTTTCCCTCTTTCCATATTTCCCTGTTTCCGTCTTTCCCTCTTTCCCTCCTTCCCTCTTTCCCTATTCCCTCTTTCCCTCTTTCTCTCTTTCCCGCTTTCTCTCTCTGTCTCTCTCTCTCTCTCTCTGTCTCTCTGTCTCTCTGCTCTGTCTCTCTGTCTCTCTGTCTCTCTCTGTCTTCTCTGTCTCTCTCTGTCTCTCTGTGTCTCTCTCCGTCTCTCTGTGTCTCTCTCTGTCTCTCTGTGTCTCTCTCTGTCTCTCTGTGTCTCTCTCTGTCTCTCTGTGTCTCTCTGTCTGTGTCTCTCTGTCTCTCTGTCTGTGTCTCTCTGTCTGTGTCTCTCTGTCTCTCTGTCTGTGTCTCTCTGTCTCTCTGTCTGTCTCTGTCTCTTTCTGTCTGTTTCTGTCTGTTTCTGTCTGGTTCTGTCGGTTCTGTCTGGTTCTGTCTATTTCTGTCCGTATTTGTCCGTTTCTGTCCGTCTTTGTCTCTGCTTGCCTTTGTCTGTCTCTGTTTGCCTCATTTTGCCTCGGTTTGTCTTTGTCTGTCTTTGTTTGTCTTTGTCTGTCTTTGTCTGTCTTTGTCTGACTCTGTCTGACTCTGTTTGTCTCTGTTTGTCTTTGTTTGTCTCTGTCTGTCTTTGTTTGTCTCTGTTTGTTTTTGTCTTTGTGTGTCTTTGTTTGTCTCTGTTTGTCTTTGTTTGTCTTTGTTTGTCTTTGTGTGTCTTTGCGTGTCTTTGTCTCTGTTTGTGTTTTCTTGTGTTTTGTTTGTTTGTTTGTATGTAATTTTTGTTTATGTTCGTTTGTTTGCTTTACTGATTAATTATATATTCGAGGTTATCGATATTCTTTATTATATTGGTTAGTCGGGATTTCGTATTGGTTGATTGGATAAAAGAGATGAGGCGGATTAAATCAAGATTGATTTAGATTGGATATTGTTTTAGAATTGAATTGTTGAATTGATATTTGTATATATGGAGATTATAATATTATTTATTTAATTTGTTTGAGATTAATTATATTTTTATGCAAATCTTTCCTTTATGGACCCTGATTTTATTACCTTTTGGGGATGATAAATTTCTCGAAATTTCTAATTATGGGTCTTTACACATGATAATTTGGAGCCCGGAATTCCTTATAATGTCTTAATATGATACCATTTCTAAATAACAGATTATTTTAATTTGATTGTTTTTCTTAAATATATTATAAGTGGTAAAAATAATTTAAGACGAACATAATTCTCCGTGTCTAAAGTGGCGCTGGGTTGTGGGTGGGCGAGATTTTATTTTCCGATTCTGTTTTGTGGTTAATATTCTCGAATATCTCGATTTGAAGAATTACTTATTGTATTATAGATTGCCAATCCTTTTGCGTTGGGCTAGGCCCCGATCACGAGGCAAGGGCTGAGCCCCGCTCTCGTTCCTAGTTATATATATACGAATATATTGGAGAGATTGTTATTTTAATTTGGTTTTGATAATATTTATATCTCAAATATAATTTATATTAAATATGGCTAAACATTTGGAAATTCATTTACATTTTGGCCCTTTTGTGGCATAAGAAAGATCCGACATTGAATTTGTTAGACGGTGTTCCAAAGAGAAATTTCAAGGGAAGAGAGGTTTAAAATCTAAAATTATCTCGAAATAGGGATTCTAGTTAAACCGTTGTATTTAAAGTTCTATTTGCGCAGGAAAATTAATTCTAATCTCAAAAGGTGGAGGTAGTAGATGAACAAATATGGAGAGGTAATTTGAAAGGATGGGGAACGGTGGGGGAACATATATATATATATATAGATATGCATATATATAGTACCCCCAATGCTCCTTCGCCTCCTCATAAAATATTGGAAAAGGTAATATTTTTGATCGTTACACCTGCTTTTGTTTACCTCCTGGAAAGGGGTCAACATGAGCATAGCTGACATGAACCTCACCAAAAGCACTTGAAAATGTATCTAACCAATAATTTGAAAGTGTGTCCATTGGATCGCTAAACACTTGAAAATTTGCTACTATCGGATGAAAATTTAAGATGGACAATTATATAGAAAATTGTCTTGAGAATTGTAAATCCTGACCAAACCCAAATAGCATTCAAATTCTTCTAATACTTGAAAATATTTTATTATTGGATTGGGAGTTCAATATTGAGGAGCCCACAAACCACCATTTTCTTGAGAATTATCCATCTTGGTTAACCCTTAAAATATTCAAATTATTCTATCACCTCGAACATCCGTTACCACTGGATTGAAATATTTTATGGACATATTTTCCGAGAATCTTATTGAAGACCGAGAGTATTGGGACAACCCTGTATTATGTTTTTAATATAGGATTTAAGATTTAAGATTCCTAGAAAATATTTTCTTAGATTCTGAAATCTTGAGTTCATAATTTTTTACTTATGTTTTTAAACAATTCTGGGATTCAAGATTCTAGATTCCCAGAAATTATTTTCTCACATTCTTGAATTTTGAATCCCAGATTTATTTAAAAAAATAATATGAATATCTGAATTGTTCTTATATTCTTGGATACGTTTAAATTCTTTTAGATTGTAGGTGCTGATATCATTAATTTTATCATATTTATATATCTATTCGTATCATATACATGTATGACCCTCCTCCCAATTTTGACACAAATCCAAGAAGCAAAAAGAACCATAAAACATTGGACATTACAGGTCAACCGCACCAAACCAGGGTCCATGGGGGGGGTACACTATTTATGTATTTATATATGTGTTTGTTTGTGTTTGGCTTGGATATATTATAGATATGTTATATCGAAAATTTCATATATTAAAAAATATATGTTCGATAGATATTAAAATCTTATAAAAATGAATGGAATAATTTAGCAAAAATATAATATATACTATATCTTAGCGGGGGGATGGTTGTGATTATATAAAATAAATTATTAATTTATAGATTTCTTCGATATATGTATTTATCGTCAAATTATATTTTAATAAACATTTATTGAAGGATTTGAACGATATAGGAAATACAGGAGATATTGGTGATTTAGGAATTGCCGGGGATATTGGTAGGATTTAAAGGATATTAACGATTATAATTATAATATTTGTTGAAGATTGGGCAATGTGATATTGGAAGCCCGAAGTCCGTCGTAAGATTAGGGAGCTCGGGGATATTTTGGAATTTATGTTTGGGCCGGCCTACGTGCAGGTGATATACACAATATTGAGGAGGAATTTGGGAATTAACAAAATATATTAACAATATAATTTTTGGATATGAATGCCCTCGCTTTTATAGCATAATTGGATTTGTTTATAACTATTTATGTGTTTGTTGTTATTTATATATTTTTTTCATTATTTATTATTGATTGTATATTATTGAGTTTTTATTATTATTATTATTATTATATATTATATATTATCGTTATTTAATATTGTTATTGAATTATATGTCGTTATTTGTTTGACTGCTATTATTTATTTGTCGTTATTGGATTCTTTGCCATTGTTTATTTTGACATTGTTTAATTGTTAATAATTTGATTACTACTTGCTCGCTGCCGCTTATTTGCCATTACTTGCCCGCCGCCATCTATTTGTCATTACATACCTACTACTGCTTGCTTAACACTACTTGCTTACTATTGTCTGCCTGCCGCTACTTGCTTACTATTGTCTGTTTATTATCTTTGCATACCATTTTATTTGTTTATTTCTATTTGCCTCTATTTGTTTCTATTTGATTATGTTTGCCCACTAATATATATATATATATGTCTAATTGTTTATTTGTCTCTGCTTGGATGCTTACTTGTTTGTCGGCTTGTTTTTCTATATGCTTGCTTACTTGGCTATTGTTTCTGATTACTCGACTTGAATTATTTGCCTTACTAACCTACTCTATTTATTTATCTTTATTTATGTACCTATCTCCATTTTCTTTTATATCTTTCTATATATTTTGCATATTGCTGCTTATATCTATCTACCGCTACTTAATTCTATTTACCTCTGCTTACCTATTTCTATTTTGCCTTGCTTATCCGATTTAGCTATTCTATTATTAAACTAATTGGAATACATTTGTTAATTGATTTTGGAATGGGATTAAATTTAAAATTATTTATTTTGTTAAAGCTAATTTATACAAATTAAAAAAAATAATTTTAGTGATTGGATTATAATTTAATATAGGTATAATTGTTTAATAAATAATATTTTAAATCTATTATGAAAATGGTATATTCAAATTACTATTTCAAAAAATATATATAATAATAGTTTGTAAATTTTAAATATTAAAATTTTATATAATAAATAATATTAATTTAAATATTATAAATTATATATATATATATAATTAAGATAGAAAACCCATAATTTTAATAATAACCCATAATAAAATTTAAAAAGTATTTTTAATATTCAAAATTTATAATTCAATAAATTCACAATTTCAATATATATATATAAATTATATATATAATTCATTATATAATATTATATATTATTACAGACCAATACATAAATATATATATATATACTAATGGGGGCCCGCTACTTTCCAGCAACGTGCGAAATGAAACCCATGGCAAGAGAATAACAAAATCAGAGTATAAAATATAAAATATTCCAAATAATAATTAATAATTATAAATAGATATTCACAAAGACAGAAATAAGCAGACCGAGCAAGTGTTTAACCAAAAGCGATTTCGGAATATTTCGAAAAAATGATAATTGCGATTTTGAGCCTTTGCCTTAGACCCTACCCAGGCAAAATATTTCAAAAAATTACACGAAAGACTACGCACTACAGTAAACTGATTACCCAATTCTAGAGACCCAAATATCTAAAGACGAATTATAGATAGAATTTCTCAATAACACCTCAATACATTTCCTAAAGCACTGCGATGCACAAAACAACAATGTATCTCAGGTGCCTAATACCAGCGTAAAGACATATAATCAGTGAAAGGCGATCGCCTAAATAAGGAGAAACGGTTCTATGCATTAATGGTCTTAAAAAATCCATCTACATATATCATTATTACAACATATATGAAAACACCATCGACCGGAAAATATTTTAGATACAAACAAAGCCGAACTAATTTCGCTCAAAACATTGAGAAACATACCGCTACTTATAATTCTTTCATCATCAAATTCTTGCAAAACAGGCGTAATATTGCAATCAAAATAAAAACGAAATGTCTAAATAATGTATGTTTTTAACCTTCCAAAAATATCCTTCATACATATGTTCGTTCCATAACAAGCCATAAAATACGATTTCGATCAACCTAAAAAATCATATATTCGAATCTCTTAAACTAAGCCAAAATCGGCCAACTTCACCATCTCATCAAATAACCATTCCATTCCTCTAAAAAAATAATTTCTTATTCCTCCATAAATCTTTCAACCAAAACAAACCCATACAACACAGCCAAAAACCAGACCAAAACAACGACCATATCTATATTTATGTGTTTGTGTATCTATACGTTTTGTTTGTATTTAAATATCTGTTTCGTTTGTTTTTATTTATGTATATAAACTAATTTTTATAAATTTATAAAATTTAATAATATTTTATAAATTAATTATTATCAAAATAAAAATTTAATATATATTTTTTTTTATATGATTATACAAATTAAGATAATGTTAATATTATGTTTAGATATATATATATAATATTTAGAAATAAGATTTAAATTATATTATTTTAAGTTTAAATAATTTAATAGAAATATTAAAAAATATAAATATAAATAAATAGATACAAATAAATAATCACAATTAAATAAACACAAACAAACAAACAAAATCAAACACAAACAAACAAAGACGGAGACCCAGACACAAACAGACACAAATACAGACAGACACAAACAAATAGACAAATAAATAGACAAACAAACAAATAAAGAAACTAATACCAAACACACATAGACCAACAAACAAAGAGAGATAGAGACAAACACCGATAGAGAGACAGAGACAAAACGAAACACACCTCCGGCGCGCAGCGCGCCGGATTATGATGCTCGGCGCTGTCCCGCCGCTCTCTTTGCCCTCTACGACGGCTGTATTCTGGTCCGTGGCCAGGAGGTGGTCGCAGGTGTTTCGTAGTTTGGATCGGAATTTTGGAGGTTAGGGGGTGGTTTCCCATGCAATTTCAATATAATCCACGGGTAATCCTCAAACCATTCATCCAAACCAATAATTAGGGGTAAATTGAGGCGGGTGGCCGGAGCCCGCGCCGGCAAGATACTTTTTGCATTTTAGGCCCCAATATATTTTATTATTTTATATATAGCAAAAAATGTATATTCGTCGCATGCGAAAAGCATACTGCCGTTCTCCAAACATAAGTCGCGAGACGCACGGTCGCGATAAGGTCATGCCAAAGAATCAATGAGAATAGATTTGCGGACTATTGGCCACAAAAGATCCATCCACACACGTAATAGTTGCAAGCGCAAGCGAAAATGCGATCGACCAGAAAATATCCTGGGTGCAAACAAAGCCGAACTGATGTCGCCAAAGCATTGGGAAAAACGCCATTGGCAACAATCGGCCGCGACTCACAGCTTCTCGCATCGCCAAATTCTCGGAAGATGGGCCAAGATTTCAACCAAAATTACAACGGGTAAACAGATATATGCCCCGAATCTTTATCTGGAAAACACAACGGTTTCGTTCAAAGCCCGGATCATTTTTCCGAAATATCAAATATTCGGTTCCCGAAATATTCGATTCGAGAAAATGGTAGGTGGCTACAATTTTCCCGAAATATCTAATATTTCGGGAAATTAGTTCTTTAAAAAAAATGAAATCGCTCTATCTTCCAGATTATGGTCAGGATAATCCAAACACATTTAAGATATAAAACGATTATATCTTCTAGGGGCAGCCTAAACCAATTGTCCAACATATCCGGGATTTTTCGGGGGGGAAAAAAGAAATCCGGCAAAATGCGTGCAAAAACGACAATCAAATTTCATAATTTCGTTTTATAAAATACATCTATATAAATATTAAATAAATTCAAATATCGCAAAAATTAATCAAAAATTATATCAAGAATTATAATTATAATTAATTTCAATATATATTTTTAAACCTATTCATATAAAATCATATAAATATAAACCTTTCCAAATTTCATTTTTCTAATTTCTATTTATTTCCAAACATTAAATTATTATTTGTTAATTCCATTTAAATTTATTCATATAATCATTCATATTGTTTAACATATTCTTTATCATACAATTTAAATATATTTTCAAAATCATATCCGCCGACATTATTCGGCGTATCAAATACTTACTAAAGCATAAAGGATACCCCCCCCCCTTAACCCCACCCGCCCGACGTCTATTACATAGGTTTTTTTAGGGAAGGCGAGGATTTCCCCCGGCAATTTGATAGTGTTCCACCAAACATAGTATTCGAGGAGCCGGTATCGCAAAACAAAGGCCCCCAAGCTCGATTCCACTACCGGCTTTTTGGCTAGCTTAAGCTTCTTATACTCTTTTACCGAAAATATATTACATTACATTTCACACATTACATACATACATACATAACATACAAACATACATATATACATACATATATATATATACAAAAAAAAGAGATTGGGAAAAAAAAAGCTTAGGGGAAATAAAGAAGGAGAAAGCACAACAAAACATACAAAAAAACAAAAGAGAGAAAAAAAAAAGAGAAAAGGGAAAAAAAGAATAATGTCGACAAATTAAATCGGAGGCTCTAAAATATAAATTATTCCTTTTATTATATATTATATATAATATTTATTCATTTTTTTCTTCTTATTCTATAACAAAAATAAAATTAAAACATATATCAAATTTAATTCAATTTTCATATTTAAATTATATTTTAAATTGTAAATAAATATTCAAATTATATAATATATAAATTTATATATTTTAATATATCGAGATATAGCATCGGTACTATAGAAAACCCAAATCGAGAAATGAAATCTCGCCCACCCACAACCCCAAGTCACTTTAAACGCTGAGATTCCGTCATCCCAATCAACCAACCAACCAACCAACCAACACAATATATCGATCCCAAAGAGTGAAACAGACTCAGATAATATAGAAACAACACCCATGATCAAATTCAAAACCATCAAGAAGCTAGGCCATCCTAAAACGTCCCGGATCATACCGAAAATTGCTAATGTTTTTGTCGTCGCTTTGTTTTGAGCAAGTGTAAATCAATTGCGATTTACGACGAAAGTCTGTAAGGGAGCACAGCGCTCGATGATCGGATGTCAGTCAGCGGCTGAAGTAGACTCGCTTTGTGGGTGCCACGGCTGCCGAGTTGCCCAACAGAAAGGTTACTCCCCTGCAAATTAACATGGAACCCCAAAAAACAATCATGTGTAGAGGAATCTGCTCTTGGGCAACCCTTTTTGAGATCCATGTGTATCTGCAGGGGGATTGAAACCAAGTCATGAAGAAAACACATTGAACCACTTGAATGGCGGGAGACCACATTCGGGCCTCCTGTCGTGAACCACAAGCCTCGCAAAAGCTGCAAGCAATGGTCAACCTCTGGCTGGCATCTGCCGCGCGGATTCAGCACACAGGTTTCACCCAGGCCCAAATTTGATTCAGAACGCGTGAGCTGTACAAAACGCGGTGGCTGCTTGCCAATTTCGTGCGCTCATCTGGCCTTCCTTTAAGATAGGTCAGGAGCGAGCTGATGTGAAACATGTATCTAAAGAGTCTAAAGATTGAGGAACCATGAGAAATCTGATTTCTACGCTGCCAGGGTCCTTACCTTGCCGCCTTTTGGCCGGTCCGAAGTTGCCCTCCGTCTGCAAGTCTCCTGGGCAAATGTTGAATCCTTCCCACTTTACTGGGAAGACTTGGCAGCTTGGTTGACCTCGAACGCTTCCAAACCAGGGAAAACTTCAATTCTTAGCGGTTCGTTGATGTTTAGCTAAACTTTTAGTGGGATATTTTTTGTTCATATCATTTAGCCTAAGATGATCATGTTGCTAGACCAGCTAGCCTCATGTGCATATATAAAGCTGAAACGATTTGCGAACTCCCGCCATCATGCACGAGACGCATAACCCTGCCCTCTCTCAGCATGGAAACTCCCAGGACCCTTTGGAAAGTCTTTCCGCTTGCAAGGATGTTCGCCCACGAGTAAACCGTCTGGGCAAATTGCTACAATGCCCAAGTTGGAGATAGGGGCTCCCCCACAAAGAAACATCGCATCATGGGTGAGCTTGTTTGACCCCCAAATAACCTCGTTGACCCGAGGGTAACATGTCCAGGAAGGAAGCCAACTCATGTTCCTGCCCAGCGGAAACCCATGTAGCTGCGTTGCATGGCCCTTGAAGAATCAGTTGAAATAGGAGTGGACACTTGACTAGTTAGGATTGCTCCTTTCTGGAAACTCCAACTCGGTTGGTGGGAGAGTCATGTTGAATAGTACACTGACAAACATTGTTCATTCAGCCTGAGGGTGTGCAGGAACTATCAATTGTCAAACAGGAAGTACGCATTGGACGCTCTCATGAAAGATCTTAGTCAGTGCATACCAATACATGCCATCTTCGAGAATGTGTGCCACTGTTGAAGGCCCAAAGCCAACAAAACAACTGAACATAACTGGATAAAGCAACTGAACTGGATTCTCGAGCCTTTAGCTTCCACACAATCCAGTGGATTTTCATGTGGAACAAAATCTTGGCGCCTTTTCTGGTTGATTCTAAAGCAGGCCCCCAAAACGAAAAGGCTCGGAAAACCTGCGCTGGAGGTCTGCAGGATTGGCCAACTTCTTCGAAGAGTTTTGACAATTCTGGTTTTGCCTCATTGGACCGCGGGTTGGCTGTTTTTTTTACAAGCCCGCAACCAACCCCAGTTCCAAGCCTGTTTTTAGGACTGCTTCAAAGGCCAAGCAAGGGCTTCAACCATCCTTTCAAGACCGAAACGGGAACCACCTCCAGGCAAAAAGGTGAGAAAAAGACACACTTTACATAACTGCTTTCTTGTTCTCAGTAGGGAACATGGGAATGAACCTCCCAACCATTCCCGAAAAGAAGCCACTAGAGGTTGGTAAAGGCTCATTCCCAACAAGAACAGGCACAACAGCTCAATGTTTGACCTATTGGGAGAAACGATGGTTGGTGTATCTGCCCGACTCTTCGACCGAGTGCTAGGGAAAGTCCCGATCTCTCCGAGCGACCTCCCGCAGCTCATTCCGCGGCTCCGCCCAGAGGGCCCGGGCTTCCCGGATGGCGGCGCGGTGCCGCGCACGGACCTTGACCTGTGGAGAGGGCGAAACTACCACTCCAATGGGCCTCTCAGTATGAAGCCTACATCTACATATAACCTTCACAGGACCAAACTTCACCCACAACTGTTTGCCGGCCAAAAGGGAAAACAAAGGAAACACAAGAAGGAGAAAGGGAGAACAAGTCGGTGAAATCTGGCAATGTTTAGGGACTTTTGGTTACTCCCACGCAGATTCACATGGAAACCAACATACCTTCACTCTCAGAGACAACTCCTTTCGGGGCCCCCGAAGAATCTGAACCGCTTTTTGGCTTCGATGTTAACATGATTGAACAGGGTGACTTCCCATCCTTTATTTGCCTCTCAAAAGACGGCCGCGGGCCGAATTCCAATCATATTCAAGCAGCAAATCATGTCTACTGAGCTGTAAGCCTGCGATTCGGAAGGAATTACCGATGATGGTTGACTGTTGCTCGTTCGACCTCAGACTTGAAGGCTCAAGGGTTGGTCGGTTGGTTGTCTATCTTTGGGATGTGGCTGGTGCAGGTCGGATATGTGGGATGCTGGCACCTAGTTGAGCTGCCTGACACTTCCATGACCTACTTCGTCCCTTCTTGAATGAAACTACTTAGATTATAGCCACTTTAGTGGGACCGGGTTGATAGACTTACCACGGTCATCATCTAAAGTCGAATCTCCAGTGAATCATGGTGAAGCCCAGCGCCTGCTTTGTTTTCCTTGTTTTCTTTGGGAATGTTTTTCCATTGAAATGAACCAACCAAGAGGGTGCCAATGATTGTTGTCCCGATGTGTTTTTCGCCACCGCGTCTGACTGCCACAATGAAATACGATCCGGGCAAGTGAGGGTTAGAGACAATGCCAACCAGAGACAGCAAGCAGTGATGCTTGACAGTGAATCCTCCGACAATTGCAAGCCACGTGGTTTGGGTTGGGGAGTTCTGAGCAAGCATGCCGTTCTTGTGCCAGCTCACAAGACAAAATACATGGATGGAAAGGCCACTTGGCATTCGCCTTCCAGGGCCTGTGGCGCCTGAAGGTATATCCTGCTGGGCAAAAAGCTAGCAGCCGTCCCCGTGTGTTGCCTTTGCCAATGTGACGCGCTTGCTGGTTCAACATCGCAATTTGAACGACACATTCAAGTGGCTCTCTCTTGGTGGGGTGATGCTTAGCGGAGGCAATTTAGGGAACTTGAAGGAAAGTCAACCTGTTGGAGGAGTCAGATTTGAAGCTGAAAAAGGGAAGGAATGGGAGAAAGGTATAACTCGTCCCTGACCCTTTCATAGGCCCAGACTAAATGTACAGCCAGGCACAAACGCCTCTGCTATCCACCAAGCCGAGAAGAGGTAGTGTCCCGGTAAACGCATGCATGCAGATCATGAATGAATCGTGGCGGATCGACCCACTAGCCCTTCAGTCGCATGCTTTGCCATGTGCCCAAAGGGCATGGAAACACATTGTCTACCTACCTTGTGACACTTCTGGGGCCAGGACAGAACATGGCTCCAATGTTGCACAACCAACCCTACGGCCCGAAGACGACATTAGGCTACTGGGACATCACATGCAGAGGATGTCATGGAGCAACCGGGCCTAAAGCTTACAAGCGCATCCTCCGCCTCTAACGCCGCAGTTGAAACTGTCTCAAACTCAGCCCCCAAAATGATTGTTGGTTTCCCTCACCCCAAAACAGGGTCTAAAACGGGGCATGGGCTATGGCCATGGTGCCCTTACCGGAATCCTTACACGGATCGCCCCAAAGGCCTCCTCGCGCTTGGGGCTTTCCACCTCCACCGCCAGCGCCTGTGCTGCGGCGATGGCCGTGCGGTGCCGGCCCGCTCGGGACCTGCCAGACGTGTCAGAAAAACCGGGCCAGAAAGTGTCCACTTAAATTCCCTCGAGGCCAAAAAATCGACAAACTCACACACCCAAACACCCAGAGTCAACAAGTGGCGAAGGCGGCGAAGTCAGCTCTTGCCAACTGTGGAAGCCACCACGAAACGCTTTTTGGACTACAATCATCTTGCCGGGGGCTCTAGTCAGGTTCCATGTCAGTGGCAGGCTAAATCAGGGGAAGCCACTTGCTTGTTCTCAGCAGGACATGTGAGAAGAAAAGGACAGAGTATAAGCCCAAATGGTAGAATAGGGTTGGGGGGTATTTACATAGGTCGAAATCATCCTAGGAGACACATGTGTTAGTGATTGTCCAACGCTCAGATGTGCTCGCCTGGGCGTAGTCGGCAATCTGGGAATGACCTTTATGGGGCAGTCGAAAGACAGTTTGGGGCAAGTACCCCCGATGTGCTCGTGCTTTACAGGCATCCTTCTACCGAGGCCACCCAGCTCCATCTCTTTCTTGCTCAGACATGAAACATGAAATTACAAGCACAAAATGTGTGTTTCCTAATTCCAAGGGTTTGCGACGGTGTGTGCCAAAGGGGGGGGGACCTTTTTGTCTCTCCTTTGACAGGCCATAGAAAACCGTCTTGCGTTTACACATGCTTTGACCACTATTGCTTAAACATCCATCCAATCTTCCCAATGCCCAGTAGGGATAACCAGGGGTTCATCAAAATAGGGCTCACAACAAATTGCCGGTGGCTGTATTGCACAAGCACGCAAATGGGCCTGTCTCCAATTCGTAGAACCCCGAAAATGGATTACTTTCCCTTGAACATGTCAATTTAAAGCACCCCAAAAAGGCAACTCCTGAAAGTCCGCACCATTTGGAGTGGAGAATCCACCAAACCCACCAAATAACAAGGGATTCGGAGGATGCCAAACGACTGGGTCATTTTTTCGACACTTCTCCAGGGCGATTATATATGTCACCTTTGAACTTCACCCAAGTGGTCTTATATTGAAATTGCCAAAAGGACAATGTTTCAATTGCCTCAAAAAGATCCAAAGTCGCGTAAGAAATCTAGTTTGTCCCCCATGCCCCTCCCAAACTTGGATGGTTGGCCGAGCCTCATCTTGCAGGGGTTTCGGGAATGAACCTATGGACCCTCTCAAAGAAAACCACCGCAGGGTTCAATAGGTGATAGCCCCCCCGCCCTTAGCCCTCATGGAAGATCCATGACTTATCCCCATCTCATTCCCCACTGAGTTGCCATGAGGGGCCGAAGAGGCCATATGGCATTGAGGGCCATGATCCTCTCATGACTGGCCGAAGAGGCCATGTGGCATTGAGGGCCATGATCCTCTCATGACTCTCCTTGCTACTCTGAATCAGTTTTTGCTTCACACCTGATTGCTTGCCAATAAAGCGAACCTTGCAAGTACACCACAGCTGAAATGCCATCAGTTTTACTTCTTCCCCTTCAACGGGCAATCAACTGTGAAGGGGTTTTCGAGGGCAATCAACGAATCCGCGTTCCCATCTCAAGTCAACCAACCGGACCGATGGACCGATCGGTGGCCTGGAGGTCTCCCTCACCTGCGGCAGCTCAGCGCCGCTGCTACTCAGGCTATGGGGGCGCAAACGAGCCCGCTTCTCCGCCTCCGAGCCGCTTCGCACCTGGATATGGCAAGCTTCAAGCTGCCTGCCCTCCTTATGCATAAATATATACATTTGAGAAAAATCACGCACAGGCTGCAGAACCACGAGAAGGCACCAGAAATTATCCCCATATATATATATAATAGCTGCAACATAAAGACAAAGGCGACAGAACCGCTATGTAGCCGCGGAAGCCACATACTCAGTTGCCCAATGGCACGCGAACTTCCTTTGTCAAGGTGGGTCCAAAGTCACCCAAAACGGGCGAGTCTCGTGAACTTGCGGAAGCCCACCCAAGGCCAAGCTGGTTGCAATGCTCCCGGATCTCTGCAGTTTGTTACATAGAGAAATTCCACTACCCCCTGGACCGCTACCCAGGAAAACATGGACTGATAGAGCAGGTGATGAAGTGGTGATACAGTGGCTATGTAGTACTTATACAGCGGTCAATTCTATGGCATGGTGGGTTGATGGTGGACATATCGTGACAAACCCAGGTGTTCAGAAGGACTCTCCTGTAACAATATTGTTCGAACCTGAATTGAAGTACAGTTGGGCAAACTCAAGGGTACAACTGCTGCGGTGGGTACTGACACTACACGCGTGTTGTTTCACTCTGGGGGTACCCACCCAGGGGTACGTGTTGATCCGCAACCGAGAGAGGGAGAGAGAGAAAACAAAAAAAACAAGAATAACATTAAAAAAAAAAACAACTAAGTAGATGGCACAATCCCCTGAAGTCAAGAGACTGATCATACTTGCATGGCATAATAGTACGCTCTACTTTCATCTTGCAACTTGAATCGGATGCGACTTGGGATCAGACTTCAATCCGGAAACGGCTCGCCCTTTTTCCTTGAGATGGACATCGAGGGAGCTGCTGAAGACTGGGGAGGTCCAAGCTTCTAAACGGTCCAATCTTGTCGAAGGAAGGGAGCGCCTGCAGTGTGGAGAGTCAGGTTGACGCAGCTCCCCAATACAGAACCCGCAGGGTAACTGGCCAGGCAACCAGGGCTTGCCTTTTTGTTGTTCTTTTGGAAAATGGAGGGATACTCGGAAGTGTAGAAAAGCTCAAGGGGATCCGGATTTCTTGACTCCCAAGCTTGGCTAGACTTGGCAATACTTAATTCCCATACAAACAAGAAAACAAAGGAACCCGAAAAAAAAGCAAACAGGTCAATCAAATTCTGGCCATATTTGGGAATCCCGAACCTTTGGCTATGCACTGCAAATGCACCGTACACACCAGGACCAAAACACCATCATTCTTGGAGGATCGACCTCCCTGGGCTCCATGTTAAGTTGCAGGGGCATGGGATCCTAGCCCCTAAACGACAGCCCCGCGCCCATTCTCCCCGCGCATTCTGAATGCGCCGCTCACGATACTCGGCCTCTGGGCGGTTCATGCTGTGGTCCCTTTGGCGCTTGGGATCCCGGTCCAGGTCCTCTGGGACCTGTTCCGACTTCCAGCTGTGCTAGATAAGGGATTTTTGGGGTTTTACGTTATGGTTTCCCCCTTTTTCATATCTTGTTCATCTTTTTTCTGTGTGTGTCACAAGCATGCCAAGCCAGCCCCCTCTTCACACCAGGATAGTCGGATAGTCTGTCTCGCTGCGGAATGTGGGTTGGTCCTTTGGGTTGGGAATTCATCTTGTACTTGGCAGGCGCGTGGCGGCAAGGAGAGGCATGCAAGTCCGTCACAGAGTGACTACTTTACTCGTGGGGAGGGCCACCGGACCGGGAACAATACTTAGTGGTAACTAGCAGACCGGGTATTCAAACCCAGTGGGTGTAAATCTATCCAATTCCCCAACCAGGTGCCCTAATTTTATGCCAGCAACTGAAACCAAACGCCCCCTGAACCAAACGCCCCCAAACCCGAGGGAATGCTCGGAAGGAGCCTTGGACTGTGGTTTCGGAAGCAAGACACTGCGTTTCGAATGGCCAAATTGAATCGAGATTTTGAGCCGCCCTCCCAAACTTGATGCTGGAGATTCGGGGGCCCCAAAGCCCGGCCCAGTCAAGCCATATTAAACACACATATGCGGACAGCAGGGACTTAGTGCATTTGTCACCGCAAGTGTCCCGTCTTGCTGTTTTGCTCAGGTCCTTGAATCAAAGGAGAGCAATCAGGAGTTCCTTTTGGCAAAAAGGCAGCTGGGACAGGACCGGGGCAACATGAATATCCCGAAGCACTTCAACAAGAGAAGCATGCGATCTGAGCATTCCGCAGCGCTCACAATCGCCAAGTCTCACCATTGGCACATGACACTTAAGAGTCACACCTGCTGTGTGAGCTCTGCGTGGTTGCCTGCTTAGGTCGCAGGTTTCTGGCGAGTTTCCTTTCACCTACGTCGGATACTCCGCTCATTCCAGGTATGTGCCATCCAATTGCGTGTTATTGACAAAAAGTATTCCCAGCATTGGCCAATATTCCCCGGACCTTGCCCGGAAACTTCCCCGGAACCCATCTCCCAAGCCTTGGCAAAGACCCCAGAGCTTTCGCTGTGATGACACCGTTTCGCCCACGGCACACACTGGTTATCATCACATGTGGGAGTCTATAAACATATGCAAACAAGGGCATTGAATGGCCCCCAACCACAAATTGGCACAACTGCTTCGTGCCCAGAGACCACGCGAAACAAGACACCACGCTTGTTGTTTGATCCGTTGCACTAGTAGAAAGCTCAACTCTTCAGAGCAAGACCGAGTTGGCCAATTCTGGGTTGGGTGCCCAAAGGTTCGGATGGCGCCTGTGTCTCGGGCATCTTGGGAGCTCGCTTGCAATGAGGCCTGGCAGTGCGAGACTCCCCGTCCCTAAGGGGGGGGGAGTGCGGGACCTCAAACCGTTGCAATTTAATTTGTCTTCCTCTTTTTTTTGGGGGGGTAGCCCTTGAAATGTTTCAATTGTGGACCCTAACCCCGCAGAAAAATGCAACCCTTTTGACACGTGGCGCTTCTATGTCGGTGAGGACATGCGGAAACGCAGGTCACAGGAACCGGTTACAACGGGCAACTGGTGCCCCGCGAAGCCGATGTGCAGGGGAACTATGCCACACCCCATACATGGCAAAATGGGTAGCGGAGTGCTGTGTGAGACAAGGGTGCCAACAGAGGTGGCACCCTCAGCCCAGAGGGCTCATAAAATCAGTGAGGTGCCAGGCCAAGTGGCAGGGCCTGGACATCACACTGCACTGGCCACCAGAAAGCGCCAGGCCAGAGACTCGCCGTTTGCCAGCTCAACAAAACCAGCAATAACTCCACCACAGCTCCGAAGAGGTAGAGAAGAAGCACCACCGTGGACCACCACCAGAACAAAGTCCAAGCCCGAACGGGAAAAACAGCTCGGAGTACCTTCACCGAAAAGGCGTTCAGAGGAAAGTAGCAAGCCACGAACAGAGCCAATCCCCATCGCAGAGATTGGAGCATGCAAGGCCAGGGAATCCTACACGCCGCCCCATGGAGCCGAGACAGTGTAGACCGCCTGGTAGAAGCAGCCACCAGGAAGTGCCGAGAGAAGACCAAAGAACAGGGCCCATCCCTGCATACAAAGATGGGCACATGCAATGATGCCCCCTCCAAACTGATCCACACCTCGAAGCCAGGGTGAAGTAGAGACAAGTCCCACGAAGTAAAGGAGCCAGGAGCTGGCCGAACAAAAGCAGCGCATCAGTCGAAGGAGTCGACAGGTGTATGAAAATCTTGAGGAGCCAGCAGAAATACACGACATACACCATACAAGCTCGATGAATTGCTCGACGACAACCAGAGGAACCGAGCGGCTGGCAGGGGAGGCTGCCTTGTTGGACGCCTCACCCCTCCATGGAGAGGCAGCGAGGCCCGCTCAGCTCCCAGAACCCAACGGCTCAGTGGCTCACTCTGAGCCGAGAGGGCTAAAATGCAACCCTTTTCTGGGACGAGCGTTCGGTTTGGTGGCCGCTCAAAGCCCGCAAGCAGCAGTTTCTTGGAAGTGTTGTGATTATTCTGGCGGTTTTCGAACCATTTCCCTTTAGAGGCACCAGTTTTTCGAGAGGCCCCAGGGCCAGTAATGTCCTCCCAGGCGCAAGCGCGAGAACCGTTTTGGTCGGGGTCCCCCCCCTTTGAACATGTTTATTTTGGGCCCTTCCGTGTTTCACAACCCCCCCCCCTCAAAAGTGCAACAAAAAATGAAATTTCACTGGGTACTCCCCTTCTCAAATTACAATTGTTAGGGGGGAAGATGAGTGCGAGCGAGGAACTGCGCAAAGGCAGCCTTGCCAAGTCGGACAGGAGTGCTTTTGCGGAATTTGACTTAGAAGATGTGTCTCAATAGGGGAACGCCAAGCACGCTTTTTAGGGCACCATCAACAAAACAAACCCAAACTTGTCGCTTTTTGCGTCCCAAAGGAAGCTTGGCGAGAAGCAAGCCATTATGGGCACCTGATGCTGACAGCCAAACAGACTGCTGTTGCGATGAAAGGGGCAGTGTGAACAAGCATGAGGTGCCGGAGGCACTGCAAGTAAAGTTCAGTCCTTCCGATTCAGCAACAATGTTAACACCCTGATCAATTCAGGCATTGTGGACAGCTCAGCCCACCCCCTAGAGAAGAAGAAGAAGTGACAGCGAGACTAGCACAGCTAGGATTGACGATTGCCGGGCAGCAAGCATTGATTTGACGAGACAAGTCAAGCATCACCTTTCTGCTTGCAATTGAGCTGCCAGGCTCAGGGTCAAAATGGTTTCGGTAATCAAAAGGATGGTTGGTCAAATACTCCCTGGAAATTGACATGGAACTCAACATCCCCCCTCAAAAAAATAAGTGGGCTCCCTAAGCAGAAATTGGGTGGCTGAAGGGGAATAGCCTTTGGGAAGGCCTCTCCATTGCTAAATCAACCTTTGCCAGGTACAGGTTGGAAGTAAATAGCCGGGCGCCGAGGTTGCCAGGGATGATGAGTGAAGCGAACAGCTCATAGTACGGTTGCTCTAAAAACCCTGGCACAAGGGTCGCAATTTGGGCCCTGGCAAGGAACACCAAGGAAACTAAACCAGCTTCTGCCCTTGTGGTTGGGTCATTGAAACCTGTTCCCCCGAATCCCGACAGATAGGACAGCTTGGCAAGTTTGCGCGGACTTACTTGCCGGCTGCTAGCGCTTCCTTTCCCTTCTTTTTGGGGGGATAACTATGATTGGCACACAAAATGGCAGGTACTTTTCCGGAACGAGTTATTTTTTCATGTTCTTCGCCGGGCTCCTCTGTTGTTCTCTCTGGCGAGAATGCCCAGGGTTGGAACATTCCTTGGTTCTTAAGCATTCTTAATCCACTGTCAATTAAGCAACTTATCCGTTGGTTCCCTTTAACAGGACCCCCGGTTTAATTAAAACAATGTACCCTACCTCCCCCCCCGTTCCCGCTCGCCGGCCTCACTTTGGGGGCCGCCACCTCTGGCTTGGCAGGGCCCAAGCGTTTCAAGCTAGAAGCCTCGCGCGGCTGGCACACGGCGATCCCCTGAAAAAGCTGCCGCTTCTAAGGGTACTCCAGAAAAAGCTCTGGCTTCGCCAGAATCGGCCGTAATTTCTCGGCGCGGCCGTCATCCAATGCACAGCCGTAATTGTTCAAGGCAGGGACGCTTACGCTTTTGGCGTCGAATCTTGACACTTTGAAAGCCTGCTCCAAACAACACGACTAGCACGTCTGTTGGTTGCGCACGAGTCAATGCCCAGCTCATCTCGGTTCTGAGGGCTGAAATCCGCCAGTTTGGGACACTTTCAATGGTGTTGCCGCGACTCTGCAGATTCGGCCGCCATTCTCGAGAGAACGGCCGTCATTCTCGAGGGAACGGCCGTTCCCGATGAGGCAGCCGCCCCCCACATCCCCGCAGTACAGCCTGCTGGTTTGTCCTAGCGCCCTGAATGGGCCTCTCAAATCTCGGCTGCGCAAAGGCCAATTGGGAACAAAACTGTGCACCCGCTCGCGTTGTCCATTCCAAGCAGAGATGCAATGGTGCGTGCTTTTTGCCGGTAGGGACACCCACAGGAAAACCGCCATTTTGCGTGAAAGGGTGCCACTCAAGCAGAATGCTCAGAGTGCTTTTTGGTGACGGCACAATTGCTGCACGGCAGCGTCAACCATCGGGTGCTTCCCAAATAGCCGCCCCACCCCAAAAAATACACTAATAAAATAACATAAAGGTGGATGCGTTTTGCCACCCAAAAGGCCCCCCCAATTTTCTGGGTTCTTCGAAATGGGAAGATCCCTACTCTAAATCTATCATCCGTAGTGGGGTGCTACGAGCAACTAGCATGTGACACACCTATGAAGCCTTGACTTGGAACAACCCAATCTGACTTGGCCAAAGGAACCGGAACCCAAAAGGTACAGGGTAACAATAGAAGCCACACCTCCCTGTATCTGGGTCAGCAAAGCGCATGACAAAACCACAAAACCAAAGCACCTGATGTATTTCCACCCGTAAGTGTCCCAAGGATCGATTTACGAACATATGCCCAAGCCCTCGGGTCCCACCTCCACCGCCTCGGAGTCCGCCTCCTACGCAGATCGTGTGACGGTCTGGGCCTTACAGGCCCCACTTGAAGTCCTGTGCCAAGACAAATCTTCAAATTGAGCGCCTGGGCAAATTATTCACAAACCGAAACGAGGAAGCTCCAAGTAAGGGAGCTCTGTCATGGGTAAGCTCGTTAACAAATTTGTCCTGAAACCCAGCTGTGACCTAAATCCTGGAGGACCTGGATTCAAATGAGGAGTGATTATCTCTATGACTACAATTCAAGATCAGGAAAACCAAGCGTTCAAATGGGCAACCGCACATGTCTAAGCTGCTGGTGCTCAAAGGGTAAATGACGCAATATGGGTTTGTTTGTCTTTGAGGGACCCGCTTTTGGTTGGCCTCAAAGGCAAACCAACTGTCGACCAATAATTTTGGGGTCCCAAGCGCTTGTGACGGAAACTCGAAGCCTCCGACCAATCTCAACCGCGGGAGGCACACCCCTGTAAATCAACCAGGGAGTTATCATTCAAGGAAAAGGGCGATCGGACGGAATGCGGGATTAACACGGCTCAAGTACTTCTTCAAATATTGAACCACATGTCTGCCTGGGGCATAGAAAATGGCACTGGCGCGGAAGAGGTCACGCCTCGCTTCAAGGCTGCCAGGACAACTTGGAGATTCATTCGGCTGGGTTTAAGGTATTAAGGTTGCTGGCCGCGAAAAGATGGCTTGGGCTGGCTTTTGGGCGTTCACGGGGTCAACTTTTATTCACGCAAAGGAAAGGCATGCCCTTTCGGCTTCTGGCGAATTCTCCTAACACAGCGGCAGGGATTGTCACCATGGTGACCTCCTTCGGGAATCTCATTTGAAGGTGGCACCACATAACACCAGGAACCCCCAAAGGGCAGGGACTCCTTGAGGGCGTGGTTTGCGAAACAAGGTCCAGCTTACTAGCGGCAACTGCTCTTCAGGCGTAGTGGGATCTTCCAATTGACGGACCTACAAGCAGGTACCTCGTCACATCTGAGGCATGCTCGGGCTGGGAATCTTGAAGGGAGACTTTGCCGTGGCTTCAAGCCAAAGTGCAAGTAAGAGCTGAACACCAAGGTGGGAAGAGTTTTCCTCCATACTTGACCAAAACTGGCTCAAATCAAATCAACCTCACTGCACCTCTTTTGGACACGGCTCAGACACTCTGTCTTTCTCACGCGCTCGTTGCCTCGTTGCCCCCGCAGTCCTCAGCCTCCTCTTCTGATTTCTCGTCATCCTTGAATTGTTCAGGCCCACACAGTTCCAATTCGTTTTAAAACAGACTCTTTGTGACACGCCACGTGTTGCCTGCTGTAGACACGACGACTGGAGTTCAGTGGAATTTGACTGATGTGACAACATCGACTTGATCAGGGATTCCCAGATTTCCTCTGAAAACATCACCCCAACCAAAATGAAACTCGCCTTAAATTGCCCCCCACGGCAATGCTTAAAACCGGGGACTGTTGATAGTCCGAGCTGGAGCCGCACCCCGAGAAACAGCCGCAGCCAGCGCTGTAAAAAGTGATTGTACAATTGCAGCATTTCCACTGGAAGCAAGTGCTGTTGATTTCGCGTCTCTTCTCATGCAGTCTTTTGATCAAAACAGGCGTAGCTACAACTCCGATCTCGAGTGGAGGGCAACTCTTGGCGTGTCGATACAAGTCCAACGCTGACTATGGCCGCGACTCTCTTTGCAAATCAGCCCACGTTCACACAGGCTGGAGATCCAACTATCAAACCAGCACACATGAAGGCGAGTAGCGACAAGAGATGGTGCTCAACCTCCCAGAAAAGGGGAGACTAGGTGGCCAAAACGACTTGGTCCTAACCTTCATTTCGCCTAGTTGGCGCCTTTTGAGCCGCCTAGGTCTTCCTAGTACTAACTAGTAAGGCCTGCAAGCCGTTTGCCCCAAGTTGATTTCCTCTTCACGCACTCGCCTCCTTCGTGGCCTGGCCTCTTGTCAGATTTCAAAGAGCCACAAATGCGTTGCCCCTCAAACTTATCTCTGACAGACTGACTAGACGAGGTACAAGAACACACACACACACATGTCGCCAACCAAACTTGAGACATGAGTGGATTTGGGTCTTGGCACAAACCATAACATCTTTGTTGGCTTGTGCTTCGCTAGTCACCAGCAAACATACTACTATTATGCGAACACTAGGGATCATTTCGAGCTGCGAGCCCATGCTTAGGCTCTCTGCGTCCGATTGAAATGATGGACGACATTGGTAAATAATCAGAACCAAACTCAAAAGCAGTGCAACCAAACTGTCCTACATTGAACACCTGTGGTGATAGGTATAACCTAGGCCCTCTTCCGGGGCACACAGAACATGTGCTGTTCGGATTCTGCTATAACAGGGACTAAAATAGTGTTGGAGGAGACCCCAGCTTCTGCCATCTCGCATGCGCCTCCACAGTGTGGCATCTTCTAAGCCCCGGCCAGCGGGCCTGACATAGGGGTTTCTGTGTTGCGACGCCATCGGAAAAACCTCCAGCGGTGCATCTAGCTATAGACCCAAGTATCCAGCAGGTGCTACTCGGATAAATCACCGGAAAACACGGAACCACGAACCCCGCAAACTCTAAGCCAAGCATGTATGATGCACCTCAACCCAGTGAAGTCGATGGTTGCCGCAGAAGATATCATAGTTCACGGCTTCAGCTAGAAGGATGCATGACCATTCCAGCCAAGCCGAACCAACATGTTCCACCGATTCGACCTTTGCAGCGGCGCCCAAACCTCGCATTGCTTTGCGGTCTTGGGGGTCCTTGACTTGGCATACGACCGATTGAGGCCAGAAGAGCAAGCAGCGACTGTTCATTCCATGAGAAACGCCCCGGAAAAAAAAAAAGAAGTTCACCTGTGACAAACATGTCTTTGTTGTGTGTTACATTAGGGGTACGGAATAATGAAGCCAACTACCCAACCCCTTTGGTTTCCTTTTGGGGATTTGTTTTCAACGTGTTTTGTGGGAATATGTCAAAGCAGGGGGGGCCAGAACGGGGCGGCGTTCCTTCCTCAGAAAACATGCACCATGAGAACCCAGCTTGTTAATCGTCCTCATGACGGCCGACACCTCTTCAGGACTTGTGCAGAGATGTCCCAATTGCGAACTGCGGTGATAATATATATATATATATATATTTGCAAGTAGGAAAAGAGGAAAACACGTTAATTCACCACGATAGTTTGCGCTTGGTTGACTTGCAAAACCAGGAAACCAAGTGTTGCAACGAACCCTGAGCTCGCTGTGTGAAGATCTCGACTTGCGTGCGAAAGTGTTTTGGGGTTTAACTGTTTGTTGCACACTTCTGTGTCAGAGCCGTCGCTGTCCATTTCAGCCCTGCCATCCTCTTTGTTCCGCATTTCTGGCGCTTGCATGTGTGTGCGCTCGCTCGCGCCTTTGCTTGCGTGCACGCTTGAATCCCCCAGACTGCACATGGGACCAATCAAGAGCAAAGTGAAACAAACACTGGCAATGGCTCGCCAGACTGCAGCCACTCTCCTCTCCAAATGGCGGCAACTCTTTTGCCTTGTTGCACATGACAAAGGTTTGAATGCTTGTTGGGTAATTGCGGGCGAGCTGTTCCATGAATTCTACCCATTGACCAAGCTGGAAGAATGGGCCCCCAAAGACAGCAGTACTCATCATGGGCTAGGTTCAAACTAAACTCCTTTGTGAGGTTGCTTTACCTTTCCAGCAAAGCGAAGAACTTACAACGAAGATTATCAGCCGTTGCGGGGCGAGCGAACAATTTCGCACAGCTCTCTAGTAATTTCTCACTATTGCTAATCATCCTTCTTTTTGAGCACCACGGCTTCCCTTTGGGCTCCCTTTTAACCAGCCCCCAAGAAAGCGCACCCTCAAACGATGTGGTTTTCCAAAAACCAAAGCCGTTCGTTCCCCAAAAAGGGTATCCTTCCGAAAGGACACGTGGGGCTGAATACTTACATCATTCTCCTTTGACCATGACTGGATGTGGTTTGACCGTACCCCACCCCATTGCAACGATCCAGCTCGCCGTGGCATCGTCCCAGTTCGCCACCGGCGTGGCCAAGGGAGTCGGCTCCTCGTCCGGCTCCTAGGGCAATTCGGAGCAGTCGGAGTCGGGGGGGTAGGGACCCCATTCCACGATTCAAGTCTTCAAACCACAAAAAGGGAAAATGCACCAGACGACGGGTGGCCCGGAAGCATAGAAGCACGTTAATTGCGACCGGGGCATGTACGCACATGTCATTTGGGGAGTGAATTGGTCGAGTACTGCGCATCCAACTAGACATTGCGATTGGTTTTTGCGTACACAGTAAGTTGCCATGTTCCAGAAGGAGCTGGCGGAGCCTTTTTGTACTCAAACGTTGTGATTTGCGAGCTGCAGCTTCGCGAGGGCACACTTGAATACTGCTTTTGTTGCTAGAAGCCGACTGCGATGTCCAAGCTGGAATTGTGCGGGTGTACTTCGCGTGCGGCCATTGTACTGCCAAGTTGCGATTTTCGAGCTGGAGCTGCATAAGCGCACTTCGCACATTAATTTCTTACATGAAGCTTGCAAGTTTCGCTCTGCAAGCCCGCCCTCGGACCACGGGGTAGAACCCAAGCCCTTCCGAAGACCAAGTTGGAGCAAGTCGCAAAACACTGAGGTTTTGCACATCGACCTACCCGATCTCCGCGGAAGGTTCGCGCGACCAAGAAATAGTTGTTTTTGCACACTCGAGTTTTGCACATCGACCCGCCCGATCCACGCAGAGCCGAAGAGGGGTGCGTTGCGATGTCTCCCGTCGGGCCATCTCGCCGCTGAAAAAGAAGAAGAACTAAGAGTCGAAAAGAGAAGGTCGAAAGGAACAGTTAGCTTGTGCTTTTAGCATAGTGAAGTAACAAAAAATAACTGCGGGCAATGTTGGCAACAGAGTAACACCCGAGAAGTTGGCAGGAGATGTTTACCCTGTAAAGTTTGCCGCCAGTTTTAGAAGAAGAACCCTTTGCATGCTGGCATGATCTTGCGTGAAAACAAAGAAAAAAGACAACGGCTTGCTACAACTGGAGATCTCCAAAGGCTGGGACTGGTTGGGAAAATCATGAGGGGCCAACTCAGTTCTACTATTCAAATTCCATTGGGGAACCTTTTTTTTCAACCCTCCGAACCTTTTTTTTCAACCCTTCCCTTTTTTTCTAACCCTCAAACCTTTTTATTTAACCCTCCCCCCTTTCTTTTCAACCCTCGCATCCCTCTTTTCTAACCCTCCCCCCTTTCTTTCCAACCCTCTACCCTTTCCTTTTAACCCCTCTGCCTTTTAACCCCTCTGCCTTTTGCCCTGATGGGCCTGTAACCGAAGCATTCGGCAACTGCGCTAAGCTGCGATAAGGAACACAGCTGCACGCGCGCACACTGCTGCCTCGCCGAGGCCTGCGACCGAAGCCTTCCACAGCTGCACTGAGCTATAGGAAGACAGCCACAGCGCACACACACACACACACGCACTGCTGCCTCACCAAGACCTGCGACAAAAGGCTTTCGCAGCTCAAGGCTCCAACCGAAGTCTTCCACAGCTGCACCGAAGTCTTCCACAGCTGCACCGAAGCCTTCCACAGCTGCACTGAGCTAAAGGAAGACCGCTACAGGGCGCACACACACAGGCACACTCTGCTGCCTCACCAAGGCCTGTGACCGAAGCCTACACCAACTGCTTCCCTCGGAGAAATGTTCTTGGCCGGCAGCCGTGTTGCCCCATCCACCCCGACCGCCCTGACTCACGGGCCTGGTGCACCTTGGCGCAACCGGGCTCTCGACGTGATGCCGCACCCACCGCCTAGCCGCAAAGGGGAAGACATGCGTATTTGCAAAGCTTGGAAAGGCAGGTGTAGCACACTTGCTTCAATGAAACTACGCTGCCTTTGTCTCACGGGGCATGTGGCCAAATGGCTTCCTGGCAGGCGTGTGGCAAAGTGGCTTCTTCACCAGGTCTTGCGTTTGCGTCCCCGGCGTCGTTGGGTTGGAATGTTCCGCATGTCGGCAGTGGGGTCATCTTGCAGCGCCTTGACATAAAGCACATGTTCGCAATCTCCATGTAGCAAGAACTCACGGCATGTACACAGCTTGCCTGGAACTGGTTTCTTCAGCTTGCGGCGCACGCGGGGCCAGGAAGCTTGTGCAAGATGCCCCTCCAACACTGCGCAGTACTGCTGCATGTACTTCTGCAACGCTTTCAACTCCAACTCCCCATCCTTGGCAATGCCAGCCTTGCACAACCATTTTTCGAGCTGCGGGCCTTCGGAAGCTATGAGGTTTGCGACCATCTCGGCCACTTGCGGCGTCACGACCGCCTCTGCAGGCATCACGCCTCCCTGCAGTCTGCTTTGCAGAACCCAGAAAGTTGTCACACCGTCCACATCGGTTCCGCCTGCTTCCCCAGTGCGGATGTAGACCTGGCGGTAGTTGCGATTGCCACACAGCCGCGGCTCCCGATGCTCCCAAAAATCCCTCGCAGGGGATCTGCCCGCGGACCGCAGGCTTTTGCTGTTGAACAATGCATCTGCGGAGCGGGCGGGCCATGTCACGAAAGTCTTCTCCTCCTCCCATGCAAACCTGGACGCCCAATCGTTTTCAAACAGCTGTTGCATAGAGGCAAAGATTTCTGTCGGTGAGACCCTTGCTTTGGCCTTGATGCTGCTTTGCCAGTAGGCATGAAAGGACTCCAGTGTTTGCGTTCCTGAGCTGCTGCCTGGGTAGGTTCCCAAGATCCCTCCCCAGAAGCCACTGAACCAAAGTCCTTCTGCCCCCCAAATTGTAGAAGTGCAGCTGAAGCCTTTCTGCAGACTGCCAACTGGCACTTTCTGAAAGTACGTGTGCTGGAAGTACTCTGCAGCTTGCGCACTTTTCTTCCGTAGCCACGGGAAGGCCAATTGCCAGACCGCATCGAACAATTGCACAGTCGGCACCTCGCGGCTAATCTGGACAATTTTCTCCCAGTAGCCAAAGGTGCTCTCCGGGCTTGACGAGGCGCCCCGCTTCTGGCCCTTGTTCTTGGGTGTCCTGCGCAGTTGACGGCGCTTGCTCTCGGTACACATCTGCACAATTCTACAACTGCAACAACACGAGCCTGTTTGTCTTGCTTGCTCTTGCTTGTGTGACAAACTGAGGTTCCGGCGCTTTCACCTTTGGGGTCTTCTTGGACGGCAAGTACTTCTGCATGCCCTTGTAGGTTGCTCGCCGCATGTGAGCATAGTCATCACATGGGCGTGCGTAAGGAAACACTTTGCGGCGCGAGGCCTCGATGCCTTTCGCGTAGTCCTTATGAACTTGCCAAACCTGCGCGCGGAGGTCCAGGCCGCAGTGCCTCTCAGCCAGCTCGCACGCCTCCGTGAAAATTTGGGTCATGTTGGCCTCTGACTCCGTGTCCACCAACGCTTGCAGGAATGGCTCTTGTGTTGCTGTGTGCGCCGAAGTGGACTTGGTGTGCGTGGCCCCGGCCCACGTCTTGCTTGGCACCGCACTGCTTACCAAGAAGGACAAAGTTACAATGCCGTACTCGTTGGCAACAACTTTTTGCTTTGCGTCCACTGCAAGCTTCACAACCTTCTCTTGCAGAGCTTGAGCGTGTCTCAGCATGCCCGGACAGGTCCACATCACACAGATCCTGTCCGCCTCAAAGGTTGAAGACGGCAAGACAAGGAGCTGCGACACCTTCCAAGTCTGCCAGGCCTCCATGTTGGGGCACGTGTGCTGTAGCGCTGCGTTTTGCAGCTCGCTCAACGTCACCATGCTCTTGGCAGAGCGTGGTGGGCCTGCGTTGTTGACTCGCACTACAAAGTTGTGCAGTTGAGTATTGCTGCATCGTAGGCTCAAGTTCTGGGCCTTCAAGGCTTCTCGCACATCCTTTGACGTGACCTTTGGCCGCTTCTCCTCCAGCCCTTCCAAAGCGCACGCCTCCGCGCATGTCCACAAGCAGCCGCCGCGCGGGGGCTGCAGTTTCCCATGGCACCCTTTTTGCTCCACGCAAAGCAGCGGCCCTTTCTCTTCGAAGGTTAGGGTTGCCTTCACCTGTCGTGTGCAGCCGGCGCACACACTTTGCTGGCAGATCCCCAGCAACGTTTTGCCGTCCCTCTTCAACTGCTTCTCATGGAAGGTGTAAATGCCTTGGTCTTTCCGCCGTCCAAGAAGACGCTCCACTGCCTTCCGCAAGCCTGTGTAGGTTGCCACATCTGCGCCATCGCACGGCTTCCCGTGAAAGATTATCGCCCAACTCTCCGCTGGTGTGCTTGGGCCCTCCTCTGGCGCGCAAGGCGGCTCTCCTTCTTTTACAGTCGGCGTCGTCGCTGACCTTCCAAGCTGGGTGATGCTGGGTGCACCCACAAAATAGTCATTCAATCGCACGAAATCATATAGTGTTCAAAGCTCTCTCCCATCATGGTTGCAGCCGCAATTGACCATTGTCTGAAAGATGAGTGGTGGAGCGAACTAACTTGCAATGAAGGTACACTTGCCTGTGAACAGCGGTTCAGCAAACCCTGTCACTTTCAATGCAGAGAAGAACAATTCCAGCCTGCCCCTCCTATCTCTAACTCGCCTTTTGGAGCATGCGCTCTCCCAGCCTCTTTGGAGCAATAGCCGGCTTCGGCTGCGCCTTCTTCTCGCTGCAAAGCTGCCTGCAAGCCACATGGGAAAGAGTGAGGCTGGTAAGCAAAGTTTCGCCTCGAAGCGAGACACTGCCCGAGACAAGAACACAACTCCGTGCCTTGGTTGCAGACAAACGCCCATTTCCTTCAGCGAATCCTTGGCTTCCTTGGGCAACACTGAATAGGCGAACTTGACAAAGACTAGCTCCTGCCCATTGTCGAAGCATTGCCCACGCACTTGTCCAAGACCACGCTCCGCTAACAGCGCCATGACCTCCTCATACGGGCCTTCTTTCCATAGCGGGGCCGGCAAGTTGCGAAAGGGCGGGCCGCACCGCCGCGTCCACTCTGCGCGCCACCCTGAGCCCACCAAGGTGCGAGGAGCTCCCCCATCGCTTCCACGCCCTGCCGTGCGCCCAAACACACATCAACCACTCGGCACTCGAGCTTTCATGCAGTTTACATGGGTCGTGTCTTGTGGTTGTCAAGGCTAGCATGTCCGACTGCGTGCATTTTGCAGCTTGAACCCAATTGAACCCACGGCCTCTGCTACAGATGGCTTCGGCGTGCGCCGCGCTGAACGACCATGCTTGCGCATATCCACCTCCAAGACAGCCAAGCCGTACAGAAATCTCTCCTGAAAGCATAGTGTGGCCATCTTCAGCCCCTCCGCGCTCAGCTGGCCACTCCACGTTGGCAAGGTTGTCTTGGTCCTGCGCTATAGACACTTTTCCCAGCCAAACCCTACCTACGGCACGTGAGTGCGGCCCAGGCACCCACACGCAAGGGGCCACAGCTCCTCCATCAAAGTTCCGAAAAGAGCCACTGTGCTCACCCAATAAGGCGCCTTGTGCAGTCCAGTTGCCAACGTCTCTCCAAAAAAAGTGCGTTTGGTGACATCCCGGCAAGTCAGACGGTATGCGTGGAACACCTCCTTCAGAGCCGGCGTGAGCTTCCACTCTCTTGCAGGCGCATCTATAGCCATCGGCGCCTTGCAACCTATTGACTTCAGCACAGACTGAAAGATGCGGCGCAGAATGGGCATCACCACCTGCTTCTCAAAGCCCTGCAGGCGAGGCGGGCCTGGATCCCGGAGAGCTCCGAATGAGAACATGCACCGCTGCGGCAAACCAATTTGGCTACGAACCTCGCTAGCCACCCACCAGTTCTGCCACACGGACAGCTGCTGCAGCAAAGCAAAGGTTACGTTGGTCTTCTGCAAGGGTACACCTTTGACCGGCACAACCTTGTCCTCCGCCGACTCTTTCTTGGCCTTGCGGTCAATGGCAGTTTCCCACGGCACCTCGCCCCCTGCAGCGCTGTCCAAGAACCTGGAAAAGTTGATGTGTGTGGATTGATTCCAAGTGCCATTTTGAGGATAGGATGGGCAGAGCAAAGGGCCGCCTTCACCAGCTATGAGCGTGGCGCAGAAAGCATCGTAGTAGAACACGGTCGGCATGCCAGTGCTCCGACTCCATGCCTCCATGAGGACCAAGATTGGGTAAAAACTTGTCCGCCACAGCGGGTACTGCAGCTCCACCGCCTGCTTCCCGCCAAACTCATCAGCTTCAAACCCGGCAATCACAGCAGGCAACTGCTCCTTCACGTCTGCTTGCTCCATTGCCAAAATCTCTGCCTAAGCACATAGCAAGCAACACTCTGAATGCTTTTTCTTTACCCAGTTTCGTGTGGTTCCACCCTGCGAGCAGGCAGCCATGCGCACCATTCTTACAATTCCCCACCCCAACGTCGACCGCCCTCGCAATTTGAAGCCCGCTAAGGATCGCACGCTGTAAGCCGGCAGGTTCGCGAGAAACGCAGCTACATCCTCACCGGCTTGGAAGATGGACAAGGCAGCGACCACATCCCTTTCGAACTCCAGGGTGCCATCAGCGGTTTCCGCAAAGGGCAAGGTCTGCAAGCCAAGGCTCTCCGCTTTTGCGTCCACCCCTGCTGTTGACTGCAGTGCCTCCCCAGCCTGCGAGTCCAGGACAGTGGACGCCAGCTCTGTCGTTGCGGGGGCAATCGCAGCCTGCTCTGTCGCAAAGCTAGTCACGACGCAAGTCTCGTACACAGCCAGCACCACGCTCTTGGCAACCTTCTTCGGCAAAGCAGACATTCGTGTCACCACAGTGTCATCGTACCGGAGCCAGCTACCACCCTCCATGGTCCATGTCACAAAGTGCCCCTGTTCAGCATCACCGCAATCTAAAGCAATATGCTCCGTGCAGTCCACCTCGCGCTCATTCTTGCACCATCGCCCTGTGTGCGGGTCCACGTGGCCGTTTCGAGGGAAACTTACAATCAAGACCTCTGGCGCTGACAAAGGCCTGGACTCTTGAAGAACGTCCTTCTTGCAAGAAAGGCTTCCACATCTCCATGGTCGCACGGTCCGCTTGGCCAAAGAGTCGAAGTTCGTTGGTTTGCCAAAGCAAGCATGTGGCGCAGTCGGCCGCGCACTTCCTCTGCGCAACATGTGTTTGCAGCCTAAGGCATAACTGCTTGGAATGGAAGAGAGCCTGTAGGACGCCATTCATGTAGCATGTGTTGCCCACATTGCAAAGGCCTGTGCCTTCGAACTGCTCCTCTCCGCGCTCAAGCTTGCACTCTTGCCTTTGTTCTTGCTTTTCCGCGCCACCCCGCACCGCATAACTTTGCCTGGCGCCAGAACATCCTTGCCAGCTGGTCGTCCTCTTGCCCCACAAGAAGGACTTCCATCCAGCAACCGCAATGCCAAGACAAGCCACGATCGCTGGCGGGACCTGCAGCAGGCCAGCAGCCCCATGCAAAAGCCCCTGTACTGTTGGTAGCAACATCAGCATGCCCAGCACGCCCGCCATCGCTGCGTGGCGCCGAACTGCCCTCACGCATTGCCTTCGGCCGCGGCGGCGGCCCTTCACTTTCAAAACCTTGCCGCGCGCCACAACGCCGCGCACTTGCGGGCCCGCAGCCATCGCGCCCATGACCACTCCGACCAAGAACGCCACCGCGTAGCACATCGCCATCTCCATGCTGCTGATGAGCTGTTTGCTCTCCCACTAGACACGTTCCGTTCGTGCACCTAAAAAGCCGTTCCGTGGCTAGTCGTTCTGACACGTTGAGCCAACACGAGCCACCCATTCACGGCTTGCGCTTGCATGCCACTGTCTGCTGGTGATTCGCGCGCTTGCTAGCACTCTTGCAACTGCTGCACACGGGCTCAGTCTGAGGCGCGAGCCCGCCCATCAACGCAATCTTCGTCTTGTTCGCCTGCGTCCGAGCCTGAGCGATGCGTCTGAAACTCGCGGATGGGAAGAAGTTATCTGCATCACCTTTACACCTTTGCTCTCTTCTTATCTGTCTCTCCCTCTATGTATCTTTCGCTCTCTTTTGTGCGGAGTGCCCCTGTTTGACGCTGCTGGTTCGGAACGTGGCGACAGCCTTTTATCTTTCGCGCTCTTTTGTGCGGGGTGCCCCTGTTTCACGCTGCTTGTGCGGAACGTGGCAACAGCCTGCTACCGCAAAGACATGCTCGACGGAGTATCCGACAGCGACATCAACTGCGCCGCTCTATGGCGACGTGGCCGAAGCCTGCAGCAATGGCACTGACATAAATGAAGACAGCTGCCAGCGCACACACTGCTGCCTCGCCAAGGCCTGTGACCGAGGCCTGAACCAACTGCGCTGAGCTAGGGGAAGACAGCTGCCAGCGCACATACTGCTGCCTCGCCGAGGCCTGTGACCGAAGCCTGAACCAACTGCGCTGAGCTAGGGGAAGACAGCCGCCAACGCGCACGCTGCTGCCTCACCGAGGCCTGTGACCGAAGCCTACGGGCCACTCACAGTGCGCGCGCGCCGCTACCTTAAACTCCGCGCATGAGACGCTGCTCGCGCCACCTTGTTCAACAAGTATGGATGGTGACAAGAAGGTGGCCCACGCTTTTGCCATTCGTTTAAGCTTGCAAACCACAAGTCGCACGAACGCTGCTGGAGTAAGCTCCCCTTAAGCACGCGATGTCCACATATCGGTCGCAGTCAACCTATCTACCTCGCAAACACTTCCCTTCATCGTTTCTGCCTTGAGTAACATCTGCTTCAGCCCGCATCAATACGCCTACCTAGCAAACCGTGTACGGATAACCTATGCGCTGAACAACTTCACTTAAACTCAAGATACAAAGAAGCAAGGCTGAAACTACGGTAAGCATTATTGAGGAGAAGTTACAAGAGGTGGGATGGGGCCATAAGCTCACAACTCCAACTAAAAACAGCAACGCGGCGAGGAACATAGGACCAATAACCAGAGTGCAACCGTTGTCCAGCCCGTTGTCTAAGTGACTCGTGACCCATCGTTATCTTCCCATGCAAACTGCCCTGATTAACTCAATCCGATGATGTAAAAAACAGTCGGGGATGATGAAAGCCAAAAAACCAATAAGAAATTGAACAACTTCTGCCTGTTACACACCAAAGCTGCTGTCCAGTGCGCCAAACCAAAGTTTGAGGGTTAACAAAACCAGGGCCGAGGGTGAAAAAGGCAGGGGGGAGGGTGAAAAAAGAAAGGTTCGGGGTGAAAAAAGCAAGGTTGAGGGTGAAAAGAACAATTTCAAGGGTTGGAAAAAAAGGACTCCTGAGGGTTAGAAAAACAAGGTCCCCGTTGAGAGGTTCCAAAAAGGTCGGAGGGTTAAAAAAGGAAGGGTTGAAAAAACAAGTATGAAGGGTGAAAAAAAAAGGGAGCCCAATTCCATTTACCCGCCAATAGTGGGGCCCGCGATCACAAGCCACGCCTTCACCTCCAACTCCAACTCTACCTTGCCCACACCTCAGCGTTGGGAAGCCCAAAGCGATAGTTTCGGCAGGGTTGGTTTAAGCAAAGTGCTTGTGGTTCTACAGGCGACAGGCGAGCAGGGAGTTGCTTAAACTCGGGCAACAAAGGTTTTTGCTGATCTGTTTGTTTGATTAAAGCACATCGAAACGCGTGCAGTCCACAGCGCCACAGCGGTTGGCATGGGTTTGACCGTGTCTTAGGGCCGCAACCGGTGGCACAACCTGCCTGGGGACACAAAGTCAAGGGCACTGGAGGATCCATGGCCGAGATGCTGCCTACTGGCTCCCAGGGCAGGGCGGCAGCCTCGGAGCGCCAAGAAAGTCGACTTGCGCTTGGATGAGTGGATTGGTTCCGAAACCAATTGTGTGATTCCGAAGGCTTGAGCCCCCTTGCCCCCCCCAAAAAAAAAGAAAGAAATGAAACTGAATGGCCTGAGTTTGGCTTCAAGAAAACGGCAATAATTGTCCATGTTATCAGTTGCTCGCATTTGTTGCAGTTGCCTACAATTTCTGGGCTCTCGTGATCTATTCGGGCTGTTGAGGAGCTGTGAGGGGTATGTTGTCAGATTGGTGTTAAGGTGCCGGGTTCAGTCTGGTTTTAATTAGAACAACATCCGCTAAGCTGAAACATTAATCCACCTCCCCAAGGGGTCCGAGACCGTGCAACCACTGACTGGTGCCTTGTTTTGGGGTGATCAGGATAGATTAATATCCATTGCGCGGCCTAGACTTCCCAAATCCAGCGGCATGGTTGGAGTGGAGGCCACCAGACAGTTGATGGCTGCCTCTCCCAGATTCAGCGATAGGGCAATTCTGGCGAAGGCAACATGGACGCCATCGATGCACTATACACAGTCACAAAGACTGCGGCTGCGAAGCTCAGAACAAATGTTCAATGCACATTCAGCAGCGCATGACGAAAGCCCTTGGCCCAAAGCCCGACCGCCCGTGGACGAAATATGATCATGCTTGGACCGCTCAGCTTGATTTTTGACGATGTGAAATGGCAGCGCATGTGCAACAGCCCATATTCGCGATGATCTATTGTTGTGGCCCGGGGCAGACTCATCATATATATATATATGTACATATTCATATGACATCCAATGCTGTGTTGGGGCAAAATAAGCATTGACCATGGCTGACATCATCATTCAAATGAGGAGGCCAGGAAAAACTGCTTCTCTAAAGGGCCAGCGATCTGTTTCGACTTGATTGTCAAAACCATGGACACTATATTGCATATTTGGGTTGCCTTTGCGTTTCGTGTAAAACCACCAACCAAAACGACCATCAAAACAAGACACCCCAGGTGGGCGGGGCACCCGCAAGGGTGCCCAACGGTCCGTTTGATTCCAAGGCGCCGATCGCCAAGGCAGCTCCGGCGCCGCCAGTTGAGGCACCGGCTGGGCTGTGCCGCTCCTGCAGGAGGAGCGCGAAGCTGGCGACGGGGCGAGGGGTTCTCACCCAACATGAGTGGCCGTTTCTCGTTACACAACCGCACGGAAATTGACCCGGCTTTGTCTTGGTGGAGCTGGTAGACAAATATCCTTCTGGTAGGTTGTGGCGGTAGATCCCCAAAGCGAAATAAACCCTTCTTCCTAATACTAAAGGTCCGCCAAACAGAAATCATTTCCAGACCCCAAACAAATCAAGTCCAGGAAGACTAAAATCAGAATAGGCCCATTCTGAACCAATACTAAACTAGTCATTCTTGCTCGTGACCCCAGCTCAAGCCGTATCAGGGGTCTTTACTTTCAGAAGCCACAAACAACAGAGCCCGAAACTAGCTAGTTTGCAGTTGCAGTCTCTGTCTAACAAATTCATCTGAGGAGCTTGCTTGGGCTTTCGGAAAGGCAAGGCGCTGCCTGCATGCCTGAAACATGCACCTACAAACCTGACTGCTTACAATGAGTACTCGACCCGGTGGAAACAGAAGACCAAAGAAGAGTATACAGTCTGAGCCAAAAAAACCCTTACTTAAAAATTGCATTCTGTGAGCTTGTTTGACCCGGGGAAGGAACGCGCACTGTGCTACAACTCAAACTACTTCAACTCAAACTACTTCCTGCTGCGAACCAACGCAATTAGGAACCCACAATATCACATATTACATTCCGGGAAGACATATTAGTTCATAAAACACCATAGCAGGAAAGTTCCGTTTAATATTAAATAGGGGGAATGGATTGCTGGGGTTCCTAGAAGGCCCTTTTCTGCTGGAGACTTGCTGTGGTATGCTCCAAAGACCCAAGCGGCACAAGGATAGACAATAGATTGGGAAGAGAACGCAGAACGAATCAACATTACTTTTCTACCCTGGTGGTTTGGTTGGTTGGTCATCTTGAGGTTCGGAGTAACCACATAAGACCTCCAGTGGCCAGGGGCAAAAGCATCGTGGTAGCTTGGCTTCGAAGGACACGTTGAAGATACGTCGAAGAATGAAGGAACAAAGGCCTCTGGTGTGAGGGGCACCTTGCAGGGACTTAAGGCCAGTTCGTCTCTGGCAACTATGAACTTCCGGAATTCTCTGAGCAATCGCGGCATATTCTACGCATTCCTTCGGAGCCTTTGCAGTCCCGAGGCTAATCCCACTGAGGCGCAGAGTGGGCTCATTGGCCGGCGCGCACATGTTGCTCATGGCCAGCCTGAGTGCAACTTGAGGCCTTCCAAGGCTTGCTGTGGCTCCAAGCAACCAGCCGAAATGTAGGCAATATGGGTATGTGTCCAAAGTGGAGGTCTGCTTGAGGGACAGGTCAAGTTGGACCTGTCACAGAAGATACGTGCTGTTGCAAGCTCCTTATGCTCGGTTCGGTGTGTGTGTGTGTGTGTGTGACTTTCTTGAATACAACAAGCGGTCGCAAGACACGGCATTCATACGCGCAAGAAACGCAATGTCAAAACACCCTTGGCGTGTATGTGCGTATATATATACACATAAGTAAACAACCCGTGATAGTACACCGACTCTCTCATGGGCTGCTGAAGCCAATGAGCCACTTGCTAAGATCTGAAGGGTCTTCAAAATTGGAGGCCCCGCCAAGTGTATCCAACTGGTCTGTCCTCTTAACAAACGATTTCTTTCCTTTGACACACCTACCTGAAATACATCTCAAAAGTGGGGCACCCTGAAAGTGGTTGGCTTCGTGTTGGTTGCCCTTTTTACAGCCACTAAAGCGGGCTGCCAACCAAGAAAGGCAAATCCAAACGAAGCGAACCAGCGGAGCCAACCACCACGAAATCCTTGCTTTGGCCAAGCAACTCGAAGTTGCTGGGAGACAGCCTCTGGTTCACCTCAAACATCCACCCAGCGGATTCAAGTGAGCAAAGAAAAATGCCACAGCACAGCTATGAGAAAGCACAAGGACAAAAAACAATTCAGGGGCTTTTCCCCTGAGCAAATCGAAGAATCAGAATCCACCAAGAACATCTATGGTCTGTGCCCTAGTACTAAATAGTCCACTGTGTGGTGTGAAGGGCATTTCCATTCGCCGAAGCAACAACCAAGGGTCAACTCCATCACCTAGCAAATGCTTCAGCAAACAGCGCTGTTGCCATGCCTCTTCTCCAGCCTGCTACTAGCAAGGAGGGGTGAGTCCTGTTCAAACCCATTCATAGGATTGTTTCTGACGACCAATGTATGTGAGGCTCGTTGAAACCACTGAATGAGACAAGCTATGAAGTGCACCATGATGTTTTTTGAACATCGAGGTAAAGCCCCGCATCGTGTGCTGTCAGGTGTTCATTTGCAATATGGATGGAACTGGTTCAGCGTTAGCAGATCGCTTAATACTTCGCCCAGGTCAAGTTGTCTCAGAAACACGCCGAAACCAAAAGAGATCAGCACTACCCAGGACAGCAAATCAAATGTGTACACTGGAACTGCCATACTGTGGAGGTACACAATTCTGCACCAGCTAGGATGGATGAACTCTTATAAATACTGGGACAACCACCTGCCGGGTGGTGCAGGATTCTGTCCATCCACGGTATCAGGAATGATTCTTTTGACTCTCACCGCTGTAGGACTAGGAGATCTTCCCTTGTCTCCTTCGTGTGACTCCCGAACATGTGGGGCCAATCGGGAAACGACGACACACCCATCAAGGATGAGCCCACAAACCTTAGAGTGTGAGTCAGACGTGGCGCGCAGTCTGTTTAGGTGCATGGATGTTTGCGACATAGAGCACCAGACCTGAATGAGCAGGATTGTATTATTGGGTGCCAAGCAGATCGAAGTGTCCCCAGTTTGATACTCTGCCACTTCTTTCATTTGCAAGGGCCCGGACATTGCTTTGAACATGCTTCAGTACTTATGCTGCTTAACATCCGTTAAAGTGTGTTGAGAAATATTTTCCCCTCTGATCAGGATTTTAGGGAAGTGAGCCTGGTTCACTCCCAGGTTCGGTGAACAAAGAAGGGACATTTCAAAGGAAACTAACTTTTTGATTGGCCCCACCCAGAGCAGATGTTTACAACCACCAAGAAAGAAACCCACGGCAGGATACGTTTGGTAGTGGTCTTCGTTTTGGGGCTGTATTGCTGGAAGTCACCAGGAAACCCATTCATCGAGGCCGCCCGCGGACCCGGCCTGGACAAAGTCCAGCAGAGGACCGCTGCTGAAGCCGGACACCACCGCCTTCCTGGGGCGCAGGTCACCCAGTCAAGGGCCAAGTCGCTTGGGGCGAAAGGGCGCCAAACCTACGCCAGCCTTTGCCCCACACGAAAAAATCGCGGAGGAAAACCAAGCGAGGAAACTCAGCATGACCGTGAGGGCAACTGCCAACACCTCCAACCCCAGGTCACCAAGTTGGTGAGTTGGTGAATTAAACCTGGTTGGCGGCAACTCCCAAAAAGCTCGCAAGCATACCTTTGGGGAATGCGAAGCTCATTCTTCGTTGCATGTGTGTATGCCTTGTCATGGTAGCACAACAATCTGTAGTGTTGCGGCACAGTGAACGTATTAAGGCGCTTCGCATAGATTGTCAGGTATGATTCCTGACAGTCCGTGTGCTTACAGCTCCATTTTGGGTGATTCTACACGGGTTCTATCGCATGGGTTCCTTTCGGACGCTACAAATGCCTGTTCTTTCGTGACCTTGGCGTCTCAGTTGACCACACTTTCGAGTCTGTGGTGATCAGGTGTTTCGTTCATCCAATCCGAGGGCACGAATGGGGGTTCCCTGTTCCCATCAAATGTGTGGAAGCTGAACTACCACGTGTCATGAAAGGGCTTTCCCAGCTGTCCGTGTGGGCAGCTCGTACATCCTGACATGTCTTCGCCGTGTTCATGAGGAACGCTTGAAAATGATCAATCCAAAAGGCCACCCGGGTTGCTGGATTTCGTGCGCAGTTGCTGGGTGTGTCAAAATGCGAGGACACACAAAAACGATGCTTTCCTTTGGTTTACCTTTGAAGCCAACCAACAGGACTTCCACCAGAAAGCATCTCCAATATGGAACAAAGGCAACATTGATAAATCTGACTTGCCAACCAAAGGCTATCCTGTCGCCGGTCTCTGGCGAGACTCCACATATTCGCGGCTGTAGTCAAAGACGCACAGTAGCTTTGAGGACACGCATCCTGCCAAAGATTGAGACCTTAGTCAGTCGAATTCTCCACGCTTGAAGCGTCGGATCGCAGCCGAAGGCGGTCCACGGCATGTCGTGGCAAGACTTGCACTCTTTCACAGGTCGGTCCATCGTTGGCATTATGGCTGAAGATTTCATGCCCCCCCCCATATTTGGTGATTACCAGGGATTTCCTGCTAGGGTGCAACTCATGCTCCTGATTTCAACAGATTGCATTGAGCCCATTTGACCATGAGATGAAAGACTACAACTGGTAGTAAGCTGCCAAACAATGCTTATAACCCTCGTTGATCTTGGGACTGCCTGGGATGCCTGCTTCTGAACTGCTGGCAACTTCACCCAGCTGAGGTGCCTGTGGAAAGGATGGGGCGGTACAGCTCAATGAGACTATGATCTTGCCGTTGTCGAAGTCACCGCCCCACCCCGATCCCCCCTAGCGGTTTGTTTTTTTCCTGGCACGACCCCAGTTTCTGACTTTGAGAACTCCTAGACTCAGTAGCAATCGTGCTGCGCCTCAATAAACCTTCGGTATGGAGCAGGCGCCAAAGGTCAACCTAGGGAGCGCATTGAATCTACTTCTCCTTCCTTGTGCAGCCCTACCAAATTATGTCTTGAGATGTCTGTTTGAAAGATGGAGTTGCAGCCTTTTGCCCGCTTTCGAAGATTACAGTCCCGTTCGAACGCCCCCCTTGTTCGTTTCCAGGAATACTGCAAGGAGGTTAGCTCTGGGTCCATTAACGTGTTAATATTTGAAGGTAAACCATCATTTAGAGAATAAAATATGGTTGTCTTACCAAAATGGAACCCAGTAGCTGCCTTGGCAAAGTGGGAAGCAGGAAGGTTTTCGCCAGGCAGCTGCTGCTTTGCAGTCCGGAGGAGGAGTACATGACGCCCGGGTGCATCACACTCCTGGCGAATGATCCCGTATATGCTTTGCATGTCGACTGACAGATCCATACAGAGGATGCTTCCCCCAAAAGCGAAGGATCCCCCACAAATGGGAACTCAAGTTTAAATCAACCAAGGGAATATTGAGCGAGGACCAGTTGGGCCATGGATCTTAGCCTTCACCAAGGAAGTTACAAGGGAAATGGGCTCTTGTCATGATGCGGCTTCAATCCTGGAAACTGAAGCCTCTCACTGAAAGGTACTGTTGTTGTGGGTGCGCGCAAAGACACCTGCATACCCGCTCTTTCCCTTTGCGCACATCTGCGAGCATCCAACATATCTGCGGCCCCGCAAGAATAACAACGCACACAAAACGAGACCCCAACACTGCCTAGAAATGTAGCCGCTCGCCACTCACAGGAATCCTGGGATCATCAACACACATGCAACGTTGTGCAACTACTGATAACCTTTGCCGTTCATGGGGCCTTCCAATAATGCTACTACGGTCGTTGCAAGAAACCAAAAGGACACCAAACCATGTAGAATTCAAACGCGCCAGATTGGACAGCCATGAAAAACCCTTACTCATCCTTACTCGTAGAGATGCTCTGAATTCCAGTCTTCATCTTGCTTGATGGTGCAGCTCCAGGTAGGTTGCTTCCTGCCAAGGAAACAAAGGACGTGAGAAGCCCAAGCAAATTTTCACCACCAGCTGGCTGTTCCTGGAAAACAGACACACTCACGTATTCATATTACCAAGAGGTGGCCCTCTTTCCGGTCTGAAGCCCCCTTCCCGTTCTCAAGCTTGGGTGGCCTCACTTGGATGTTCGGCCAAGTTAATCAGCTCTTGGTAACTTAGCATATGATCTACTTCTGATTGCCCCTAAGTGGAATTTAACCCAAGTCGCGCGCCATTTGCTCAGATTCCCCTTCCCTGCTGGTTTGGATTGTGGTTTGGGGAGTTAAGGCCGTGGTTCCAGTAAAGGGCAAGTGGGAAACCGCTCTCCTCCAAACCACCAATCCAAACCACTAATTGCAGGAAAGCTGAAATAACTTGGCCGAACCTTCGTGCCGTTTTCCGGAATCCTCGCTGCAGCTGCCAGGCGGCAGTCGAGGAACGATGCCAAGGAGTCCTGAGAGAGTCAATGATGCTTTATTACTCGCCCAAGAAAAACAAAGGGTAAGACTCTCCTCAAAACGTAAACGGCAATAGGTCTAGAAAAAATGGCACGTATGTATGCAGTTGTTTGATGTGAGTCTCAGCAGTTACGGCTTAGCAGCTTCTTGCAAGCGATCGGGTAGCTCGAACTTCGGCCCTAACCCTGACCTCCAGCGGCCATGAGAAACATGTGCGTTTTTGTTGGTGGCTTCCAAACCCACTGGATGGCTATGAACCCTCAATTCCTGAGCCGCCGGCCATGAAAGATTCCTCCTGGCGGAGTGGCACTTGCCAGTCCGCCATAAACGACAACTGTGGGCAGTCGCTCTGCGATTTCCTGGGCTGTCGATTGGATGGCCATGACAGGTGCAGTGGACCAAACAAAAACGAGTCTATAACCAGGCCTTGATCAGGTTTGAGAAGCGGGTCACGGGTCCCCACTAAAATGTGAAGCACTTGTCAAGCGTGGCCGGGCCTGAAACCGAATGCCTTGTCCATTGTGCCGAGACTTCGAAGGCTTGCGAGAGGAACCTGACAAAAAAGATCATGTGCATCATCTAACTATCCTGGGCTTTTGTGAGAATCAGAGACCTATCAAAGCCGCCCCTGCCTCTTGGGTTGCCAATCACGAAGGCCCCAACAGGAGAACTCCCGATTGAAATCTGTCAGAGTGGTGGGAGGTTGGACACTTCGAACTCTCCTCAGAGTACATTGATATGGACAACTAAGATCATGTCTCACTTGGATATGCTTCAAGTTTGCCAGCTCATCTGCGAGTTGCTACATCTCGTGGCCTGGTTCCAGGATTGCAGAGCCGCTCCTCCTTCCAATGAAACCACGTGTCAAATTGGTTGGTACCGAAGCTCGAAGATTCGTTTTGGAGAACAACTTGCCGCCTTCGCATCGGCGTCCTCATGAAGATCAGCCAAATCCCTTTCGGCAGCAACAAACCTTTGTGTGTCAAACCCGCACCATGTCTTCTCGAGGGTGGTGGACGGGCGCCTTGCATCCCAGAAACACATTGGTTGTTTGGTGGTGGATTGCTTGACTTGATGGTACTCGTGGTTGAAAGCTCTGGGCCAAACACATTGCAGCAAAACAGCCCATTGGTCACACTCCCGAAGGCATGTTTTTGAGCAAAACGCATGAACTGGTCCTCAGCCTGGGGGTAATGAACCCAGGGGTAATCTACCAAGTTGCAAGCGATTGCAGAAGTATTGAACCTGGCGCAAGGCAGGTTCCAGTTGCTCTCAAGCCTTCTTTTCACCCATCTTTTGCAGCAATCACCTGCTGGCATATTTCGATGCAGGTCTGGACAAATCAAAGATCTACGTCACGTTTCACTTATCATTGGAACAAACTTAGCACTGCTTTGTTCAGCACCGCTCCCCGGTGTGGGGTTCTTTTCCTTTCGAAAAGAAGTTACAAGATTCATCAGGACTTGGCCCACTTGCAAGGAACACGCAGCTTGGCCTGTTTCAAAGATTCAGGACACTCGTAACGAATGGTTCATAGCAACATGGGTAAGGAAAACGGCAAAACACACATCACCACAATCCCTAGGAATCGCTTCCCCCATCATTCAATCTACCCCTATTGGCGCAATACATCGCAATACTAAACCAACACTAGACTTCTGCCAGCCCTTGCTAGAGGGTATGCTCAGCACGTCCCTGCTTTTCATTGCAAGCTCCAACTGTCAATCCAATTTTCAACTTCGCCTTTTATGGCGAACTGACAACCGTGCCTTGAGCAATTTCATATGATTTTACTCGGCAGAGTATGAGACGAGGACCGCAATGGAAACTCCCTGCCCCGGAACCCTATGAAGAAATATGTTTTCCTCAAAAGAGAGGGGACGTGATTTAATACTGGGGAGAAGCGATTAAATCAGGTAGAACCTCCTTCTTGTTTCTTTCTTGTTCTTTGAGGGGTGGGTGGGTGGGGCAGGGGAGAATTTGGTCGCTGCTTTGCAACATTGCACCTGGGCAAAGTAACAATTCGAGGAACCAACGGTCTACCTCAAACGGAATCCTTCACAGGCCTCACAAGTTCTCCGCAGGATGCTCACCCAAAGCTGGCACGCACGCTTCAAGGAATACTTGAATACATAGTTCTTACAGCCGGGGCTTTCAAGAATTGTCCAGAAAAATAAATGTGACACTTGAGCCGTTGGATGCTTGGTTCTCTGGCTGTCTTGCGTGGTTGGAATCTGGGGTGGGACCCTATGTCTCAAAGCGAGTACACAGAGTATGGGTATGTCACAAATTGGGGATCAGTTTACTTTGAAAAGACAACCAAAACGAACGCATCCAGGGGAGCACTGAGGCTTTAGCCTCGAGGCTATGGCCCTTGTGTTCCAAAACTGGGCTTTCAGATTTAAGAAGGGAACATGAAATAAATAAACATGCAAACGGTGAAGGTGCACAGCTTCAACTAAGCAGTGTGTTTTTGCTTGCGCATTGGCAGCAACTTTCTGCCACCCGTCTGGTAAGGTTTCACGAGAACAAAGTAGAGCTCACCCGTTGAATGCACACACACAACTGTTGCAGAAATAACAAGCATCGAATGACAGGGAACAATCATCCTTTTGACCCCCTATTATGTACATATATACGATGGCCACCAAGCAAAACAATGGGAGGAATTGAACAGCGGGTCTGGAAAAGGTATGCAATGACCCATCCTCCTCTTTTGGTTTCCTTTTGTGAACATTATACAGATGTGGGGTATTTGGCAACGGCAACAAAGCCACCGACCGACTCCCCCGACTCAACAGACTAGGCAGAGGGGCCCGGATCATTTGGGAGTAGGCAGGGTATCTGCAGAGCAGCAGTTGCTGCCCTCGCTTCAGCAGCATCACGTTGCCCACGCAGGCCTCATGGACTTGAGGAAGACTGAAACGAGTCAAGAGTACTCGCCCCCTTTTGGTCTCTTTTGAAATATCGAGTAGCGCCACAGAAAGCAAACGAGATCGAAATCGCAGCAACCTTTCGCTAGCATCTGGAGCCGCGGAAGCCGGCAGCTTGGCGGAAACGTTTCGCGGGATGGGCTGTATGCCCATTCTGAATGGGAATAAGCGCCTCTCCCAGAACATGTACACTGGGCTCAACAGCTCATATCAGGCGGTCCTATCGCGGTTACCTTTTAGGGTAAATGCCTCCCCAATTCAACAGGTTGATTAATCTGGGGTCAACTTTAGAGGCTTTGTAGTTGAATTTTCCCCTAGCAGTCTCTTCGTCGTGTGTCAACGTCCCTTCCTCGTGTGTCAACTGGGAGCTAGATAAACAGCCCCATAATGTTGAGTTTCAACAAGAAAAAGATGCACCACTAGTCACTCCATTGATCAAAATCCTGACAGGGCGGTGCTCCAAGGGGTGTGGTTGCTGGTTGCCTTCGGGATGCCCCCAAGGCAAAGCTCTAAAAAAACACCCAAAATCGAACGCTTTGCGCAAGGAGCTCGGGGAACCCAAAAGAAGACCCGTGGTTCGACCTGGGCATCCCTTGGAACCGTGACTTCCGTCTCTGGCTCAAGGGAACATCAAGGCTTTCTCCTCCATCAACAAAGACATACCTAAGGTTGCACTCAACACTCTGCGGCTTGTCAACGCGTACGGCAACGCGTACGGATGCTTGTCCCTTTGATCTTGTAGACTGACTGTTTCTTTACTTTGAGACTGTCCACCGCGAACAACGGAAAGACGACCAACAAACCCCAGATACATGTTGATAAACTTTAAGCCCCGTGTTTATCCCATGCTTGGCTGGTAAACGGGCGTGAGTGGTCACCAAAAAAAAACACGAATGCTCGGAGAAAGGGAACAAGTGCAACGCAACCGTGCTCCAAGCTGATGTGCGAACAAAAGCAATTCATAGTAAGGAACATATATATATATATATACATGTGTGTATACACATGTGATCATGCCATTCCTCTCATTGATGAAACACCTAGATTTGTCCATGTGATGTGCTACAAATCCGGCCCTTTCATTTGATCCCCTTGACAGGGCAGAGCTGCAAAAGAAATGTCGCCTAGCCCACAAACGATTCCGAGGCTCAGCATGCTGATCACATGACCTGGGCACGAAGCCATCCTCCGGGGTTTTCTGGCCTTCTGCTCCCCTTTGCTCCTCTGGCCATTGCAGCCCAGTTGCTACGACGTCACCCTGCTCTGGGTGAAACTCATCCCCGATCTCAGCAAGGGATAGCAGGGGGGAACTTGTGATGCCGGGGATCTTATCGGAAGCTGTCTCCAAAATACAAACATGAAATCTGAAGACGCCCGCCTGAAAACACTCTTTATTTTCAAGCCAGGCCAACAATGAATGCATGAGAGGGGAACAACAGATAAGGGGATATTAAATACACAAGGGACTCAACTTGTCGCTGGTTAGTGGGGGCATATACGCAGACTCACCAGTGGGATTCTGGGGTGCTTCCTGGGGGGGGGGGGTCCTGGGAAAAAGGTTGGCTCTTTCCATAGTTCGTTTCGGAATAACTTTGATCATGGATCGGCATGTGCCACTCTCATCTGCTTGAAACATATATGCACATCGCGTGTTTCAACACATGGCAAACAACCAATTTGAGGTTCAGCTGGTGAACTACAGCCATTGGATATTGAACACTCAGTCATGACGTCATGGTCCCGTGCTCGTCGTCATGTGGATCCGGAATCTCCATGAAGACAAGCACGGGACCATGACGTTGTGACTGAGTCCGGGATCCATACTCTTGGGTGCTTTCAAATCTACGTGGTGATGTTCGCGGGATCAGCCTAGTGGCGGTATGGGAGTTGGTCGGGGAGGTACACAAACCAAACCTCCTGATATTTTGCTACTACTCCTTTCGGATGCCCTTTATGCTGGGGTCCATGCCGACCATTGATCCCAGTTGCATCTATGAGGAGGTATTGACTGCAGTCTTCTCTTGGAGAGACCATTTCCCCGTCACGTGCAGAAGCAACGTGAAGTAAAGCGGATGCCGCAGCCAGCCCTGGATAAGATATGCCACTATTTCTGGCACTAGTATATACCAGATTCCAAAGAAACCCCTTCCAAAGATGGCGTTGCTGTCGAAGAAAAAAAACAGAACTACAAAGACATCTCTGGTTTGTAAAGGTCCAAGAGAAGGACAAGGGCACTGGAGGTCCGGGTGCAAGCCCACAAAACTTCGCTTAGACGCCAGGACGGGACTGGAGCCGCAAAGCGCGGCCACCCGCCAGCTGGCACCTCGCACGCTGCCCAGTCAGGAGGTGACTTGGATTCGGGGTGTCTCATTTTAGAGGGAGTCCTTCACTTTTGAGACACCCCCCGAAAAGAACCCAAGGTCGATTGAACGGGCCGTTTACCCAAAACGGGGATATCCATCAACCAACAACATTCCAATTATGATGTGTTCGTGTGCAAACCTGGTCTTTACACATAGTTTCGTGTCAAAAAATAATCTGACTGTGTCGTGGCTAAGAGTGTTTATTGGCATCCAACTCACAACAGGACAAACCGGTTAACCCCACTACACGACTGGGCCAAGCTGTGACCCATCTCCTGCTGGGATTTGCTGTGATCGAAAGATGAATGCAGGCAGGCGAAAGATGGCGCGCTTGGGGATTGGGGAAACAGAACCTTCCTTTTTCATGATTGGTCTCAGAACTCGGAGGGCTCTCTCGCGAATGAATCCCAAACAGGAATCATGAGACGCACCGGAGGGCTCTCGTGTTCACTGGATGCTGTTGAGGGAGGATATCAGCACACCAATAATGATGCATTGAATTTAGGAAGGCGACCAGAAAAGGCATGGCAACACTTGCAACGAAAGCCGACATGTGCTTAACGGAACTGCCTCGAAGTGTACACAACACCTGCACACATCCCTATGAAACATGTTGCGCAAATGAGATGACGCTGTAAAAGCCCAACAGAAAAACCAATGATGATTGTTTCGTGCGATCCCCTTTCTTCAGTCGGTGAATGTTCTTCCAGACCTCCAGTGGCTATGGGAAAAGAACGTACCGCAATTTTGTTCTATAGGGACCGCCCTCCAAAGAAAGAGGAACTGACACCACTGAAGGTCTGGGTTCTATTGGCCGAATGAACATCTAGCACATCACCCACCAGTGGGGCGGCGCAGCCGAGTCAGGCATGCGCTGCATAGAAAAGCGGTGCCATAGGTGGCATGGTTCCTGTACTTGAATCCTTACAATGGCTGTTCAAATTCCCGATAAGGTGCGTCCAAGACCATCCTACTGCAAGTAAAGTGGCCTTTTGGCCGCACATACAAGGACAAAATCCACTTCGCACCGGTCGGGGTGGATGCAACCTTCTGACTGGGACAAGCCACCAATCCCAACTGGTGCCTGGTGTGGATTTTGTCCATCCATAGATGTTGATTGGTTCAGGCTGGAAAAACCTGTACCAAAAACCCTCGGAGGGAGCTTTTTGGCGGATGCGACTTTTCCACAGCGCCTCCGGGCAACGCCAGGAAGGATCCGGATCCACTGGAGGGGCTCCGTAGCCTCGCAAGTTCGTTGCAACCAGTACTGGCAGACAGGACCCTTGGGGCCGGAAAAAAAGGCTTGGTGGGAAGCCAGCAGAAAACAGGACAGAAAACGGTTTGCTGAACCAGTCGACATGAAAATATGTCCTTCAAATTTTGTTCATGGAAGGCAAGGACCTCAATGTTTAGAAACCACCACACCACACGCGTACTTGCCTTTGTTGAGCCATGCGATTCTAGAGCCAGTGCTTGAAAGAGTGGCAGCTGACTGTATGAAACCGCGCCTGAGACTGCAAAGAGATCATGACACACACACATATATATATATATACATAATTTGATCCACGGTGCCCGTGTTGCCCGCCTGTTGCCTTTGGGTTTGTGGGACCAAACGGCGGTTGAAGCTCGGAAAACTGGGCACCCTCTCATCCAAACACCGGTCGGCCATGAGTCACGCACCACTTCCAACCCGAGGCGAGGGCGCCAAGTCGTGACGCAGCTGGCAGCTCCTCGCGCTGGTCAACTTAAACCCGGGGTACCCTTCGGGTGGTTCACATATCTTGAGAGCACCCTTTGGGGTTTTCTAGGGACACCCTGAAGAGAACCACCATTTTTCCTCCGCAAGACTTCAGATATTTTGAGACTCGCCCATTGTCTCAAGGGTTGTGGGCTAGAAGGTTCGGCCCTTGTAGGCGTTCGTCAGAAATGAATCCGACACAAGCCTAGGTGCAAAGCGCTACGTATACATACATAAGACCACCAAGTTGGGCATTTTCTAACATAGACCCTCTGTTGTTTCAAGAAACAGAGACCAAGCCAAATCCGGGGCAAGGCCCAAGCAATCTCCCGAAGCCAACCCATAATCAAAACCCGGCATTCAAATGGTCTTCCCAAACCAATGAACAACAGCCGTGCCACAAGAAAGTTTGGGACTTGGGTTTTGATGGCTCAAGTTGGCCCATTCTGACTTCCGCAGCTTCACGCATCGGACAAGAACGGACACAAACAACTCGCATTCAGGGCGAAACGACCAGACTTAGACTGCGCAAACTAAAAACATCTGCTGGGAAAATGAGGTAAAACAAAAAGGGCAAACAAAAAGGTCAGGCCAGCAGGTCAGCTAAGCCAGAACCCACTTCTGTCTTCTGTCCCATTATTGCGTGAAAGACAAAAGCAACAACTTGAGAAGATTAATCTGGGTAACTGGGCAGAACTAACTTGCGCAGCAGGCAAAAAAACACATCCAAGCACAAGCTTCTACACTCCTGTCGCAGGACTCCGGCTGCTCGACACGAGGACTGTGGAGCCTGAGCCCATGCTTGGGTTCAGGAACGTAGAACCGTTGAACCGGTTTCCTCTTGAAGTGACCTTGTCGTGGCCTCATGTTCAGAAGATCGATCATTGCGGCAACCTCACCCACAACGCCGTTCCAAATGGGCTGATCCCCCAATCCCAATCCGTAGGGAGACAACAAGGGAAAAGGCAATTTCATCTGACAGAAGGATTAAGGCGATTTCGAACCCCAGCGACTTCAAGCCACGCTCTGCGCCTGGTGTTTCTGATTCATGGTTGGCGAATCAGATCGACCGGGCATCTCCGAGAATGGCAACTCTGTAGCCGAAGGGATTGACTGAGACTGGGCTTGAGAAATTCAACGGCCAATCCCTGCTTGTTTGCGCTTTCATGAAACTTCAGACTACACACGCTGGAATCACACCATTTCACTGCAGGGGGATCCCATGGGCAAGCGCATTTTGATCCCAAAATATCCCAAAAGGACATGGGCCAAGTGGGTTGCCCCACTGGCTTTTGTGTGGGACATTTGGGTTGCCGTCCCGTTCTCGTCCTCCGTGAACCAAGCGTATCAACAACATGACGACAGTGACTGCAGTGGGATACTGTGCAGATCTGTGCAGGAAGTCAAACGTCATGAACTAGCAGCATCCGCAGACTACCGATAATTTGCCAGCTCACATCACACTCAGACCGGCCGAGCAGCGGCAAAGCCCGGTGACATTCGCTGTCTTGCTGCGCCGGACGGCCTGTCATGGCATCGGTTTCAGGTCCACTCTCTTGGCTGGAAAGCATCCACAAAAGCTCAGGTTGCGCCTTCCAAACAAGGCTCCTCATATTCAAATAGTCAAATCGCATATGCAACGCGTATTCATGTATATATATAATTATATCAATATACATGTACAAGTCAACATATAAGCACCTATATATATATATAATTATATAATGTATTCATGGCGGCATTTAGTTAGCATATGGTTTTGCCGACTCAGTTGAACCACGAATCAATAATGTCTGCACAATTGTTAACCAAGCAATCTCATCGAATCTGTACACATGACGCCTACAATGCTTCACACCAAGCCGGGTGTGCGTTCATGTATGCAAAAGATGTGTGCCTTTGCATACCAAGATGCAGTAAGATTGCAGCTATACTTGTTGAATCAAATTCCACTCAGCGGCCAACAGCACGGGGACCACCGGCTTTTGTGGATCCACCTCTGCGGATTACAAGAGAACGGGGAGAGGAACAGAGCGTTGAGGCACTCATGAGCTTGACAACCCTCAAGTCGCGTTCACGAGCCGTGGGGAATCTCCTTGTGAAATCAAGAAGCGTCCTAGATTTTAGGCGCCATATCATCTGACTGATTCCCAAAACATCAGCTCAAAAGAAAGGCTCCCTATGAAAGAGACCTTCATCCCGGCAGAAGATGCAACCCCGCTTTTAACAGTGATTCTTGTATTCTCCACCTGAAGCTACCCCTCTCTCCAAAACGGTGGTTTCCAAGGTTGGTCAACTTTCGACTGGTGGGACTGGTGATGTGTCAAATTGCAAAATTGTATCTTTCAAGGATCGCTAGAATATGCCATGCATTTCCAGGGACTTGCTATGTCATGTGTCGACAAGCCCTGCAAGGATCGCTAGAATTTGCCATGTCGACTCTCTCGAAAGGCTTCTCCGGCCTGGCGGCACGTACTCGATCAGGGCATCTTCGAACCTCGAGGTGGACTCAAGGAATAAATGCTGTAGTCCCTACATGGATGCAAATGAGCCACTCCTAAATGGATTCCCGAGAGGAATCCAAATGAGGCTTGTCTCCGAATGGCTTCCTGAGACTTCCCTTGAAATTACGTTACCTCCAACAAACAAACGAAACAATTCGAAAAACGGCTGCGGGCAGAAGACATATACAAAGAGAAGTCCAATGGAGCTTCCCGCAATGGGGCCGTTGGCACCAGCAGGTAATGTTGCTACCTAAATATGCGGCACCAAGAAGTGCGCGCCTTTGCACATAAGCTGTGTGACGTATATGCCTGTGCCACAATCCTGAAAGCAGCCATTGTTTTCTCGGCTCATTTCTTGCATGGGGGAAGTGTCTTTCATATGCAATGACGTGGGGCATAGCCTGTCCTGCATCAGGCAACAGACCAAGCATAGACGCATGCAGGGCGCCCGCCTGTGCATTGACCCGGTCCACTCAACATTCTCAATTTGTCAAGATTGAGATTCCTGGAGGGAAACAACCAACTACGAACTCTGATGTTCACAGCCTCCACACCTTTCACCCCACCAGCAAATGCTCGAAAGTGTCCTACAAATCATGTTTTTGTTGTTTCCTTTTTTTTTAAACTTAAAGCTCGAATGAAATCTGTCCAAGCCCCACCAATAAGCAATTCGTTGCTCATCTCTCACGTGCCTCGAAATGGTTTATATGAAGGAACACATATGACTTTGGTTGCAGCTTCAAGCACGCCACTTCCACTGTTGGTTGCACACACGGCATTTGCAGGTCAACCTTTGGCCCTGTCCCACTCCCTTGGAAGTTGGCATGGAGCCCCGCAGGCATTTTCAGAAGATTCCCGTTTCGGGAAACCCATTAAAACGGGGTTCCGTTCAACTAGCCGCGAACATCAGCCAAGAATAAAACCACCCAAAGATCAGGCCGATTTGCTTTCGGGACTAAGACCTGGGGTCCCGACTCTGCCTCGGAGCAATCGCCTGGCCGATGAGTTCAAATAAACCTACCTCAGCTTTTCCCCCAACCAAATTGGTTCTGGTCATTACAATGTAAACACGGGTCGACATATACTGGAGAAACGCTCCGTTGCGACTGTGTGAGCGGCAATTCCATTCACAATTTGGCAACCAATAGGGTTGAACACCATCGGTAGGACAATTCCAGATCACTTCCCGAGTGATAAACATGCCATCACTGCGGTGCCTGTAGAAAGGAAATAAAAGGGGCACCATTCACTTGAAGACCTTTTGATTGACGCATGAAGGGGAATGGGTCAAACAGTTCCCTGGCGGCCATGGTTTGTTTGCTGTTGCGGAGCCAGCCATGGCTTAAACACGACACTCCACGGTTTGGGAACCATCTGAATGTTAAATTGCAACACAAAAACAAAAGAACAAGTCGTGGAACATCCAAACATTTGGGTGTGGAAATCAGCAGCTAATTGAAGCCGAGTCTCAGATCATCTTTAGTGGGCACTTTAATATCCAGCCCTCGACTGGGAAAAACAACTCCCAATACTATAATACTGCTTTCCACGCATGATCTTGCTGGCCAACACTACTTTCCAGTCAACGCGCTTTCTGCCTCTCTCTTTGACTGTTGCACAGGCGGAGAGGACCGAGGGGACCCACCTCCCACACAAATGCATGTCCACTCGCCTCCGGCTGTTCACACATCAAACAAGGTTCCACCCAAACTACTCGTCACTCGAACCATCTTGAGCCTCCATGGTTTTGGCGCCTCACTCATCGGCTGCCCCGCCCTGTGCTCGCAGTTTGCCTTCCAAGCGGCCCGGCCTGAAGATGGTTCGGCACAAACCTGGCGAAGGACGCCCCACAACGGCCGCGCTTCGGTGACACGGCATGGGGCGGTGGCCTTGTTGGTGCTTGGTGGCACCTTTGGTCAAGCTATCACATGTTCGAACTATCTTTTGATGAGGGCCTGGTTGTTTAAAGGCATTGCGCCCAACCCTGCGTTACTTCTTTGTGACGTCCGCATCACGCAAGCAAGGGGGCCCTTGTGTGCCCAACAATGCAGCATTCATAGTATGTCAGTCGATGGCAGTGATTACCCTAATTTCAGACACCCTGGCTGATTCAGCAGGAAGGGAGGCTCCCTGTTAGAGTGGTTGGAGATCGCTTTCTTGCGCGTAGTCAGTTTGATCACCTAATCCATCTCTCTCAGACATCTTCTTTTAGTCGTGGATCACTCAATATATTCTTGGATTTCAGTCACCATGGCCCTACGGCCAAATTTCTGATGAACCGCCAAGTGCCAAGTTGGATATCCGCCCAGCGGTCAGGCAACCCATTTTGGGAACGACCTACTCGAGGCCCGCGGTGTCTCAAGCGGAGGCGCGACAGGTTAAAAGCAAGGATTGAACGTGCACATGAAGCAAAATACACACCCACGCTCCAATGATGGCAAAATATTCAATTTGCCCGTGCTTGGCCTACACTTCCTTTTTACTTTGGCACTCAAATGCCCTCCGGTGGGAGATGTCCTTCAAAGAGAGTCTCCGCGACCCGCACACCAGTACTCCTATGGACTACATGGTGGGTATGAGTAAGCATATAAATCCAAATATATTGTGGAAACCTTTGCATACAAATAACCACAAGCTGGAACCGCGTGATTGATGATGCGTGCGAGTGCAGTACTACACCTGTTACCCTTTGATCTAAGAGGTGACCAGTGCTCTTTAGCTCGCGCAGCCAGCCCTCAAGCGCTACCAGCGCAGCCCGCTTTCAAAGGCTATTGCGCCAAAATTGGCAGGCCCCAAATTGCCCAACATAAATCTTCGCAGCCAAAAACTCACTCCCCAAAAATTGCCTCAAATTTCCAAAAACTCCTGCGCCCGAAATTGCCAGGCCCCAAGTCTCCAGCACAAACCGCTGCTTTCAAAAACCTCTGGTCCCAAATTGGCAAGCCTCAAGTCTCCACCCAAAATCTGTGCTTGAAAAAAAGCGCCACGTATTCGGTAGGCCCCAAGTATCCAGCGCAAATCTTTGTTGTCCAAAACTCATGCTCCCAAATTGCCAGGCCCCGAGTCTCCAATTTTCACACCCTCTGTTCCCAAATTGGCAGGCCCCAAGCCTCTGCCCAAAATATGCGTGTTGAAAGACTCCCGCTCAAAAAAGTTGCTAAGCCCCAAGTCTCTAGCGCGCATCTTTGCTTTCCAAACCTCCTGTCCCCATAATGTCCAAGCTCAAAGTCCCCAGTTCAGTCTAGCTGGAAAGCCTCTGCTTCCAAATTCGCAGGGCGCAAGTCTCTACGTAAAGTAAGTGCTGTGAACAACTCCTATAGTGTCCTTACTTTCCAAAAACCCCTGCCTGCAAATTACCTAGCCCCAAATCTCCAGCACAAAGACTTTGGTTTCCAAAAATCCTGCCCCAAAATGCTAGGCCTCAAGCCTCCAGCACAAATCCATAACCTCTGCCTCCAACTGCCAGGCCCCAAATGTCCACCAAAATGATTTGCCTTCCAAAGGTCTCTTGCCGCCACCAAAACATGGTTGCCTTCCAGAACTCCTGCTCCCAAAATTGCCAAGCCCCGCGATTCCAACACACACACACACATTCGCTGCCCAAAACGCATGCGCTGAATTTGCGAGGCCTCAAGTCTCCAATTGCCTTCCAAAACTGATGCTCCAAAAACTGCCGGGCCTCAAGGCTCCAGCACAAATGATTGCCTTCCAACAGCACTGCCTCCGAATCCCACAAAAATTGCCTTCCAAAACCCCTGCTCCCAAATTTGGCAGGCCTCAAGTTAGACCCCAAACTCTGTGCTTTCATAAAATCGTGCACCCCGATTGGCAGGCCCCCAAGAGTCCAGCACAAATCTCCGCTGTCCGAATCTGATGCTCTCAAATTGGCAAGTTTCAAGTTTGAGCCCAAAACCTCTTTTCCGAAACTCCTGCTTCAAAATTGGCAGGCCCCAAGTGTCCAGCACAAATCTTTGCTCTGCAAAACTCTCGCTCAAAAAATTGCGAGGCCTGAAGTATCCAGCAAAAATGTTTGGTTTCCAAAATTCCTGCTAAACAATACCAAGCAGGACGAGTCCAGCGCAATATGCGCTCTTCAAAACTCAGGCCCCTAATTCGCCAGGCCTCAAGTCTCCAGTACAAACTATTACAGCCCCAAGTCTCCACCCAAAACATGTCTTTGAAAAAACTCTTGTTGCGAAATTGCCAGTTGACAGGTGTTGCAAAACATTTGCCCCCGCCAAAAAAGTGCAAGGCCTCATGTCTCAAGCTTTCCCGGCACATGTTTGTGCATTCCAAGACAACTGAGCGGTGTTTGCGTGTTATTTCTGAACCATGTTTTCTTAGTTTAAATAATGCGCTGGTATGTGCTTTGAGTTATTTCTTCAAAGCAGGTTCTTCTGGGGCTTAAATTGACTGCCATGACCAGCTTAACAATGTTCGATCACACACCCCAAAAGTTATCTCCTAAATTTAGAGCAACATCCAAATGTTATATCAGTTTTTGAAAACGCACTCAAAAAGGCTATGTTTTGTCTTAATAAGGCTAGGTTACTAGTAGGTCAGGGTTGGGTAATAGAGCCGAGCTGTTTAGGTTATTTTGGTTCGAGAAATTAGTCAGACAAGGGGATAGAACAGTTTTGGCCCCCAATAAGCTACCCTGGTTATTAGGAAAGCGAACGGCAAAAATCAGAAACCCAAAAACAGTTCCCCCGCAAACCAAGACATGAATCATTGCAAGACAACAACTAAAGCTACACAGGACTTCGAAGCTAAAGATTGCCAAACAACAGCTAGCACAGGCCCTCAACCTAACAAGTCTAAAAATGCAAGCAACACCTCCTAATCCTTTTGGTTTAGGTTTCCAAGCCTAGGGTCCTGTTGGGAGGGCGCCTTACGAATTCAAAATCGATTTTGAATTCGGAAGGTAGGGCTTTTGACTCGTAAGAGGGTTGTGTGTGTGCATACATGCAGTTGGCTTTCGAGCTTGGACCCCTGCCTTCCGGATTCAAAATTGATTTTGAATTCGCAAAGCGCCCTCGCAACAGGACCCTCGGCTCCGAGAGCGGCACAGGAAAGACAAATGACGTGGAAACAGAAAGCGCTGGTCCTTGGTGCCAGCGCCCGCGTTTGGAATCCTAACCGCGCAGCGCCCTCTTGGTCAACTTTTACTGCGATATATATGGCGCCTTTAAGCAGGCCTGTCTACACAAGCTCTCTGATTATTTCTTACGCCCTGTCCTTTCCTTCGGCCGCGGCTTGAGAGCACACGCCTAATTCGCTATGTGCTTTTTGGTTCTGGGCATTGTAGGCCATAAGAATTTGTTGCTGGAAGCCGCCAGGGCCGAAGAGATTTATCATCATAAAGCAAACCCTGCTTCGGCGTCACACCTGTTTCAAGATAGGCACCTGGGAAACAAAAAACAAAGGTCAGCCCGCTTTGCTCTCAGGTAATGTTGCGACACTTGGGCGCGACCAGAACTTCTTTCTCAGGGAAGGGGGTTTTAGGAGCCCTTCATCCTAACATGCACTGGCAGGAGGTTGTCACAAAGGGCCTTCCTTCGCACCTTTCCGGCTACATTTCCCCGGCTTCCATGTTCTGAACCCCAGCGTCAGCGAGAGAATCCTCTCGGAAGGCCCCGACCCTTTTGATTTTTGACTTTCGCTCTTTGGGTACGCTGTAGCAAGAGCCCTGCTAGCCATGCTACGGGGAGATGTGGCCGGAAAGGTGCGATTACGAAAAGTTAGGACGCAGAGTTACCTGCGATATATGGCGCGCCTTTAAGCAGGCGTGTCTACACAAGCTCTCTGATTATTTGCTACGCCCTATCCTTTCCTTCGGCCGCGGCTTGAGGGCACACGCCTAATTCGCTATGTGCTTTTTGGTTTCTGGGCATTGTAGGCCATAAGAATTTGTTGCTGGAAGCCGCCAGGGCCGAAGAGATTTATCATCATAAAGCAAACCCTGCTTCGGCGTCACACCTGTTTCAAGATAGGCACCTGGGAAACAAAAAACAAAGGTCAGCCCGCTTTGCTCTCAGGTAATCTTGCGACACTTGGGCGCGACCAGAACTTCTTTCTCAGGGGAGGGGGGTTGTTTTAGGAGCCCTTCGTCCTAATCTGCACACAAAGGTCCTCAGCTCCTGCGCACCTTCCGGCTACATTTCCCCGTAGAATGCTTCCAGGTTCTGAACCCCAGCGTCAATGAGGGAATCCTCTCAGAAGGCCTTTTGAGTATTGATTTTCGCTCTTTTGGGCACGCTGTAGCAAGAGCCCCGCTAGCCACTAGCGTACCACGGGAAGAAGTGGCCGGAAAGGTGGGATTAGGACACCCAAGCGCCGCAAACTGCCATAGGGCCGAATAAAGTCAAACCCTCAGGGTCAAGGCTTTTGCGGCTAGCACAAAGCCGCCGCAAAACACAAGATCCCTGTGCTCCCCCAAACAAAAAGAACAGCACCTTGGTGGCGTACATGGCCCCTACAAAAATTAGAGGTCACTAGCCTCAAGTGCTGAACGGCCGCCGCCTGCTATGCCCTGACAAGTTTTTTTCCGGCTTTAGTTTCTCGGATATTATTCTGGACGCAAGCCGTGGTTTTAGCTCCAATTTGTGTGTGTTTGCGTTTTTTTCACAGACGCTATTGGGTGCAGTTTCGCGACCGACTCCTTGCTATAGAGGGCCTGCCATTGCGCTGGGGGAAGACGTTTAGGAGCCCTGCGTCCTAACAAGGGGTCGCTCAGCAATTCCTGTTGTTTTTTTCTCATCGCCCCCGCAGCCCCCTGTCGGAGCCTTGCATTTGGGAGACGCGTGGTTGTCAAAACCAAGCGCAGGCCAATACTAAGCCCCCCTTGGAAGGATCCAATTCCTTTTCATTCTGTCTTTGGCTCCATGGGATGCTCTTGGTTTTGATCAGACTTCTTGCCCGTTCTTCTCTCGGAAAGAGTTCTAGACAAAAGCCGTGGTTGTAAGCTCCGCGTTTATGTGTGTGTGTGTGTGCGTGCGCATGTGTGTGTGTGTGTGTGTGTCTGTGTGTGTTTGCGATTTTTGCAGACTCTATTGGGCAAAAGGTCGCCTCAGCGAAAACAACTTTACAGCACTACTACAAACGCGCGCTCGCACTCGGGTGCACTTGTAGCATGTTGCAACAATGCACCAAACAATGCCCCAAGGGAACAACTGCAAATAACCAACTCCCTTGGAAATACTACAGGCGCTGTGTAAACTAATTCCACACTACACAGAACTCAAGTAGCTCTTTAGCTCCCTCACAATGTACTAAAACAACACCCGAAATGTCCTGCATGTACTGGTTGAGTAACAGAAGCTCCGAAGCACCCTTGAACTCCAAGGCTCTAGGCAAATCACTGTTCACCAACTGGAGATACGGACTCCCGTGACTCCCCAAAGGGACCTCTCTTGTGAGAGAGCTCGGTTTGCCCCCCACGTGAGCTCCTTATAGTTTGTGTAGAAGAATGATGGCAGAACATAGCCATTTGTGCCCCAGAAAACGCCCGCCTGCGGGTGTGGTGCTAAAGAGGCAGGTCGTGTCTCGGGTAGACCCCAGGGTTGCATCCTGCGAGCCGAACATGCGGTGAAAATCAACATTCACCAACCACGCCATGTCTTGATCTGGTGGGCCATTGGCAACTTCTCTGTCACACCAGGTCCTCTTCTAAATTTAGTTTCCAAACGGTCAGCAGCTGTTGCTGTAATAGTGAGGCGACCATCCCGTAAAAGCCTGGCCATCAGCCCGTACTTTGCTTTGCGACCCTCCTTTGCTTTGCGACCCTCAGACTAGCGATCCCATGACAACAGAAACAATTGCACTCCCAGAAACAATTGCAATATGCAACAACCGCGGATCACAAAAGCAACAACGTGGCATAGCAGGTCGGATCACATGAGCAACCGCAGCGTAGGCACAAGCACATGCATTAGTGTTGTAGATTGTAGATGTGCATATGTCTATGCACATACATTCGCCTGCAACAATCGTAAGCACATCGGAAAAATTCAGCCTCCGGAACACGTTCACCACATGCCGTGCTGTTGTGGAGCATACCCAAACGACCCAAAGGACAAGAGTATCTTACACACGCTACTTACTGCTAAACAACGCACTTCCTCAACTTACAGCGGTTGAACCCACATCTCAATGATTGCTGTTTCAGTCTTTCCTTCTGCTTGTGAAGCCTTTGAGACATCTGGCATACCTGCAATATGTGAAGTCATGTCATATTGTTCTGTTGCCTTGCAGAACCAATGCACTGTCACAGTAGCTTGAGCGATAGCTGCAGTCGCGTTTCCGGTGATAACATTGGGAGGGGTTGGAACAACCTTTCACAAGCTTGTGTGTAGGGGAATCCAATATTGAAGTAAGGGTTCCCCATTACGCGGTCGCTACAGAATAATCCGCCCCCTGTTTAACGTGCTACTTGTCAGCACTCAGGTCGCTCATGGCCATGGTTCCCTTCGGTTCCCCTCCCAAACCCTTACGGTTAAAATCGGCTCAAGGGTTGGCCTATACCAAACGCAAAGGCTACGCGTTTTGACGGCACATGATCTCCGCGGGAAGACGCCTCCTCAACCGCAGCGAGGATTCTCGCGCTCTGAGCCAATGCAGCGGCACCAGAATGGTTCTTAGTCTCCGATGAAAGCAAAGGTTCTAAGAACCGGGTGAAGCTACCGAGATGTATCTTATGGATTTCCGTTTCGATCAAAGGCAAGGATCTCCCTTTCAGTCCAGCGCATGAAGCGATCCAAGCAGCAATGCCTCAGCCCAACGAATGAAGCGATCCAAGCAGCAATGCCGCAGGACAAAATGGATGATGTAAACCCTGCGCAACACTCGGTGAGTTGCAAGTCGAATTTTCCGCTCGGACCACCAGCGATCAGCCACTTCAAGCAACCAAACCAGATGCTGCGCCCGCTTTTTGCCTTCGCAAACTCGCTGTCGAGCACTTCGAGCCAGCAGCTTTGATGATGACCACATTGGCAGCTTTGGGTACAGAGCTTCAAAGGCCTGGATTCTCCTCTGCCTATCAACCAGGTCTCACTAAGATTGCACAAACAACTGTGTAGCCTTTTTTTAAAACAACATCAACCAAGTCTGGGTCATTTACACTTCCTGCCAGAGCTCGCTCGCTGGGCTGCTGCCCAATAACATCCATGCCAGCCTGAAAGGAGAGCATTGACTGGCTTGTTTCTGGGGGGGCCCTCAAAACGGGTGGCTGCTCGATGATTTCCTGCTAAACCACGCCGCGAAGGGTATACAACAAAAGACGCACCCATACCAACATGTTCGGATCAATATAAAAGGCCCTTTCTAGAAAACAACTTGCAGCATGTGCCACAAATAACGAGTGCAATCGAGCCCGGACAAATTTGCATTTCCCTTTCCGGCTTGACTGTTGTGCTATTATTAACATCAAGGAAGGCTCCGACAACCAACTGCAAACAGAGTGCTCAACAACAATGGCTGTTTGTCTCTCTCGAGAAACATGCCACAGAACACACTTTAGGTGTTCTGAAGGTCTGCAAGTTTCCGATGTCCAACTGAACAAACAGCATCCACCGAACTCAGAAGGGGAAAACTGCGTTTTGCCTAAGGACAAACCCTGGTTACGTTTCTATGATAGCGCAATGGCTACTTGCATGCCATTCGCATGATGCACGATTTTGGATGCTAAGTGTTTCCACTGGGACACATCGGTCAAGGACATACCTGGAAGATGAAGGACAACCTAAGCGATCTATTTATGGTTCGGCTGTACTGGGCCCAGTGCAACTCAGTGTGAACACACAAGACCGGAACAGACAGCAACCCCCTGCCTTGGCAAATGCCAACGCGCTGATCACAACTTGCATGGTATGAATGAAGATATGGGTATGGGTCAAAACTAAAGCACCAAAGGACCGCAGGTTTTAGTCCATGTTCCCATTTGCCAGGATTCCATTTGGGTACCTATTTTCGACCCGCACCCATACGTGACGATACCAACGTGACAACAGGTCCCCTCAATCTGGCATTGTTTCCGTAGAGTGCTTGAGACTTCTCAAAGGGAAAGCCGTCAATCACACTAAGAAAATAAGGCAAGACGCAAAGACATCCTGGATGTGGCTGGCATGCCCAAGGATGAATTCTGCTTTGTCACCCAGCCCCTTCAGTCGACGGCAATATACCTGGCGGCCAATGCCAAACCCAAGTAAACCAGCGACCCTGGTGGAAAAAAGGTGTCATGTATGAGGTTTACCATTCTTGGCGAAGAAAGCTCCTTTGGCTATCCATTGTCATCCATACGCGAACTGGACACCTTGCACCTAGTGCGTTCTCCCTAATTCTAAAGCGCCCCTCATTAAACTAAAAGGCTTGCTGTGTTGGAGCTGAGTTTGCCATGTTTGTCATTTTACTGACTTCCTTGCTGTTTCTAAGCTCACATGCTTACACAAGTTGAGCACATCAAATATTGTTGTTTTATGCAGGTCTCGAAGAACCGGTTTTAGTGTGTGATTTTTTGGGATGTGAGCGAATCATGTTTGATCTTAGGGGCCCCTTTAGTAGAAATGGACATGATGCTTTCGCAGAAACCAATGAAGGGCCACCGTCAGCTTGCCAACTCTACCATCGATTATAGGACAAACGGAAACATGTTGGATGATCCCAGTTTCCAGAATCATGCTTGCACCTCTCAACAAACCTTGTTGTCAAGACACGCATCAGTTGGCTGGGCGCCTTCATTAGACCCTATCGCGGAGCCAAGGTAGGCCACCACCAGAAGCCCCATGATTTGAAAAAGCTAGTTTTCTCTCTCTCTCTCTCTCTCTCTACACACATACACACATACACACATACACACACACACACATACATACATACATACATACATACATACATACATACATACATACATACATACATACATACATACATACATACATACATACATACATACATACATACATACATACATACATACATACATACATACATACATACATACATACATACATACATACATACATACATACATACATACATACATACATACATACATACATACATACATACATACATACATACATACATACATACATACATACATACATACATACATACATACATACATACATACATACATACATACATACATACATACATACATACATACATACATACATACATACATACATACATACATACATACATACATACATACATACATACATACATACATACATACATACATACATACATACATACATACATACATACATACATACATACATACATACATACATACATACATACATACATACATACATACATACATACATACATACATACATACATACATACATACATACATACATACATACATACATACATACATACATACATACATACATACATACATACATACATACATACATACATACATACATACATACATACATACATACATACATACATACATACATACATACATACATACATACATTACATACATACATACATACATACATACATACATACATACATACATACATACATACATACATACATACATACATACATACATACATACATACATACATACATACATACATACATACATACATACATACATACATACATACATACATACATACATACATACATACATACATACATACATACATACATACATACATACATACATACATACATACATACATACATACATACATACATACATACATACATACATACATACATACATACATACATACATACATACATACATACATACATACATACATACATACATACATACATACATACATACATACATACATACATACATACATACATACATACATACATACATACATACATACATACATACATACATACATACATACATACATACATACATACATACATACATACATACATACATACATACATACATACATACATACATACATACATACATACATTACATACATACATACATACATACATACATACATACATACATACATACATACATACATACATACATACATACATACATACATACATACATACATACATACATACATACATACATACATACATACATACATACATACATACATACATACATACATACATACATACATACATACATACATACATACACATACATACATACATACATACATACATACATACATAGACAGACAGACAGACAGACAGACAGAGAGACAGAGAGACAGAGAGACAGAGAGACAGAGAGACAGAGACAGACACACAGACAGACACAGACACACAGACAGACACACACCAGACACACACACACAGACACACACACACAGACAGACACAGACACAGACACACACACAGACACACACACACAGACACACACACACACAGACACACACACACACACACACACAGACACACACACACAGACACACACACAGACACACACACACACACACAGACACACACACACACACACACACACACACACACACACACACACACACACACACACACACACACACACACACACACACCACACAACACACAACACACACACACACACACACCCACACACCCACACACCCACACACCCACACACCCACACACACCACACACACCACACACGCACACCACACACACACACCCACACACCCACACACCCACACACCCACACACCCACACACCCACACACCCACACACCCACACACCCACACACCCACACACCCACACACCCACACACCCACGCACCCGCACCCACACGCAGACGCACACGCACATACGCACACACCCATACGAGTTCATTAATGAGTAGGGTAAGGTCGCATTGCCCCCCCCATGGTCGCCCGTATTGAACTTGCCCAGCCTTTCTGGCTACCTCCTCTCCATGTGGGTGATTTCTCAACATTTGCAACCCCTTCAAGTGTCCGGTGTCCTTTGGGTTCCTTTTGAAATCATCCAAGAGGAGATGCCTATGTTGATAAGCACCAATTTAGACATTGTGCTTGATGCGTTGAGTTGATATCATAAGGTATTCACTCCTCAACGTGTTCAGCGGCCGTCTGGTTTGATGGGCTGGACACGTCAACTTCACCTACAATCTGGGATGCCCGAACTGTGGACCCACTCGAAGCAGAACAGTGAAAAACAATAATATATACATATATATATATATATGTCAAAAAAACAACATAGCTGCTCCACTCTTTAACAGGCCACTTCCTCAGAAACGGAACGAACCGGAGGTCTGCGCACAGGCCCCCGCCCCGCCCACCCCCCCGGTCCCGCCTGTCTTCCTCCCGCGCCCAGGCGCTAGGCGCACAGCCTCAGCGAACAAAGAGGTTCCAAGGAGTTGATCCCCTAGAAGTCCTATGGGTCCTAGAAATCCTATGGGTCCTATGGGTTGGTTTCCTTGGTTGATGTTTTTTTTGTTGTTGCGTTTATCGAGTTACGAGATTCATCCCTTCAAACAAATAGCAAGGGGGCTTCCTTGTATATTTTGGCTGGTTGCTTTGCTTACCGAAAGGGGGGGGGGGGGAACCAAGGTTGGGCAACATATTTGAAAGCAACCCCAATTTGGCACCCCTGCAAGAAAAAGGAGATGGTTAA